CCATCAGGCAGGTGTGTAGAAATCCGAGACCCAGGGTACTTCGGACGCTTCCAAGCACTGGCCTCGAGCTTGTCATTTGGCAGGTTTCTTTTTGAACCTTGCACATGCCCATGATGGTTTCATGGGAAATTTGGACCGAGATTCTTCGTTGATCTGGGGTCCAATAAGTCCAAATCAGAGCGGGCTGGTTGGCCAGGAGCCATGTATCCTTCACAGTGTAGCCGAGCTCGCGACATCCGTGGGACTGCTTCGAGGGCTTTGTGGTGTTGTAAATAGCAGGTACACCAATGCGAAGAACTTGGGCGGACTGCTTGATGTGCTGCGACACAAGCTTCTGCCTCATGACATGGTCAACCTCGGTATTGACGATGATGGCCTTGACGTTGAAGTCGCTGATAATGTGCAAGAATGCAGGGGCATCCTCTGAAAGACGGTTTTGATCAATAGGAGCCATCGGAATGACAACGGCACCCAAGCACAGAGCAGCATGAATGGCATAGATGTAGTCTTCCGAGTGGGTGTACATCAGCACAAGATGATCTCCTGGTCGTACTTTCACCTTGTTCTTGAGGTAGGTCGCCACTGCAGAGACCTTTAGGTCAAACTTCTTCCAGGTGACGCCCTTTCCTTCCTTTCCACGACCATCGATAGAGCAGTAAGCCAGTTCTTCGGCTTGGCGGGAAACGCGCCATTGAAGAAGGTCGACAATGGTTTTGAAGTTATTCAATGGAGTAGAAGTTCGGTCATCCATCACCACATCGCGATAATCCACACCCGAGTATTGCTTTTCTTGATAGGCAAGCAAGTCTTGTCTTGATGCCAAAGCAGTAGGGGACCATATTCCACCCTCGGGGTCAATACCGACGGGAAGATTCAACACGGATCGTTCAACTCCAAACTTGACATGCACCGCTTGCAGCATGCCGGACTCGAAATCCTTGCGACAGAGCATGTTGCCAACCTCTTGTCTGCCATTCTTGGTGACGCGCGGCAGACTGTTTGGGGCTGTAAGTAGAACACAGTACACTCGCAGATGATGCTCTTGGTACAACACCTCCATACACCTGTCGGCGAGCGAATCAAGGAGAACCGAGTCGAGCTGCCTTGGCGGACCACCGGAAGTTGTTGGCGCCGTCGAGGCCGAGTAAGACTCCAAAACAATGACCGGAAGATGTTCTTCATTGACGAAGACATCAAACGCAGTACAATCATGAATTTTCGGCACCTTCTTAAGAATGCTAACAGTCAAATGTTGAACGAAGAAGTATCGATGTTCCACAATCTCTTGGCCGTGTTCAACCCACTCGACCTTTTGGCGGAGACGATCCTCGTAGAGACCAAGTATGAAAAGTCTGCCCTCAATCACACACCCGAGCAGACCAGTGCGCAGGAACTCAGGCTCCACGAGTATTGGGGTCGGGTTGAGCTCTTCGAATTTGTAGGGGCGAGCGTGGAAGATGGCCTCTGTGTGTTTTGGCAATGCCCAGAAGCCACCAGAAAGAGAGGGCGAATCAACCCAAATCTCCCCAATAACATTTGGCGTGCAGAGGAGATTAGTCTCCGGATCAACGACGGCGAGAGTTGCATCGGGAATTGGGTAGCCGAAAGCGCCAACGCGTACAGCATGCGGCATACTGCTAGCGTACTTTCGCGCATCCTCGCCCATGGCCAGTACAACCACTTCATTGCTCTTCAAGGCCTCTTTGTCTAGAAGGACTTCACTAAGCTCGTTCTTGGGGCTCTGCTTGATCGTAGAGACTCGTGATCCACCGCCCAGAAGACTACTTCCGAAGCCAGTTTTAGTCTCAGATTTGGCAAGGCTCTCGTCTTCCTTTTTAGCGTCATCACGACTGGCTGGGTCCATTTCATGGGTCAAGGCACATCCCATTCGCTCTTCACCACCGAGCCAATCACGCATACTAATAACCATACCTCCATGTTCTGGCAAGCAAAGCATCGGAGCCACAATTTCTCTAGCCCGTGGGTTCCTCATTGGACGAAGCCATCTGTCTGCCAGGATTTCATGGAACTCAGGGTCGAGAGTAAGGGTATCGATGAGACAGATTTTGACGCTGCTGAAATTGGGCTCCGAGTTCTTCTTGAAATGTCTGGTCGACATCGGATCCTGCTGGTAGTTGTAGGTGGCGATCTTCAAGCCAGAGTAATCGGTCGCCATGACTGATGCCTTGTACTTGGTGATGAGATGGGCATACAAACCGGGCGTTTCTACCGCCCGGTCCTCGTGCCAAACGGTCGTATGGCCACCGTAAACGGTCAAGAGAATGGCTATGATCATACCAATTCCTTGTCTTGGATCGAGGTAACTGATGATAGTCTCTCCCTTAGTGCCATACTGCCTGGCATTTGACTCCGCAGGAACTGTAGAAATGATCGCACTCAGACATGCCATTTGGTGCATGATAGTCCGGTGGCTCATGACAACACCACGCATATCACCCGTCGGCGCTCTTGCAAACTCAATATAGGCCAGATCAGGGACCTGCAGCGCAGGCGTATCATCCTTCTTCTTTGGATTGAAACTGCCGAACTCATTCGTCTTCCACCACTCAACTCCTCGCGGCCAACTGAGCTTTTGTGCTGTGATATCGCGTTGGAAGTTCTTCAAGTTGTTCTCGGTCGTCAAAGCCAGGTGTGCCTGGGTCGAGGTGAGCACGATATTCAGACTTGTGTAGTCATCCAAACTGTTGATAGGCACGGCGACAACTCCTGCAATAAAGCAGCCTAAGAGCGCGACAGCGAACTCGATAATCTCAGTTTCGCGATAGATGAGAGCGACGCGATCTCCGCGATATAGATTACTCTTATCACGAATGACTTGAGCAACTTTCTCTGCGCGGCTAGACAACTTTTCCCACGTTATCGACGCAACCTCCTTGCCCTTTGCATCCAGCACCCAATATGCTGCCTGCTTGGGGTGAGCTCGAGCACGGTGCCGTAAGACCGTGGGAAGGTTGTCAAAGTTGGACATGGGGATATTTTTGTCGTGCGGATCGTTCAATGCGAAAGGAATCTCCCGAGGTTCGAGGGGAAGTAAATGCTCAATAGCCGGTCCATGGTGAAGATCCGCCGCGGCGGGCATCAATGGCGGGGCCATGTTTGCTGTTGGCGAAAAGGCTTCCCCGGACTGAGAATATCGGTGGAAGCCACCGCCATAGCTATCCCTATAATCATCATGTTGTTGCCCCGCAAAATCGGAGAAGTAGCCTTGTTGGGAATCAAGCATTGTTGACTGTCGCGTGGGTCCTCCAGATGCTGGATCGTAAGGTGTCACACCGTCATCCGCATACTCAGGTTGAGCGTGTTCGGCGGGGGCATACTCCTGAGCGTACTCCTCGGCGTACTCCTGAGTATACTCGGGCTGAGACATATACTCGGGCTGAGAGTTCGGGTTGAACGCGTAGTTCTGACTCATCAAAGTTGCCGTTCTGGAGCCATCCTGGCCTTGCGACACCGGGACCGGGGGTTTAGGAAGGAATAGGGAGTCGTAAGAGCTTCCTGAAGGCGCGCGATCATGGGCTTGGAGCATGCCTTCTCTGCTATGAGACCCTAGCGATGCCTGTGACTGATCTGGCGTATGTATACCGGCACCTTGGGTATATCCGACGCCTCCGCTGCCCTGCGAGCCGTTGTAACTGCCAGCGTAGATAGGGGAAGCGATGTGTGGCAGGGAAGAATCGGCAGTTGGTGGGCGAACGCTCAAAATGGCCGGCGGGGCCCTTCCAGGGCTGACTGGGGATGCATCGTAGCCAAGACCGGCCTGTTGATTGATCTCAAGGGGCTTGTTGGGACCGAAATATTGCGAGAGTAAGACCGTACGTCGCTTCTGGTATCTTCTTGTTGTTAGTTTTTCAATGTGTCTGCTGGTCCGAACAGCCCTTGTCGAAAGAAACCGTATCTATGACACGGAACAATTGGGTCGTGATACTGCCTATGGCTTGGGATGGTTGTATCTAGGCAAGTCGCTTACCCTTTCTCGGTGATGTCGCCCTCCTGTCATGGATCATGCATGAGCAAAAGGATACAATAAGTGCACAGAGTGTACATACCTCCAATTCGCGATCTAGGTTCCGCAAAGCGGCCTGGATCTCGGGAGACTCTTCCGCCATTTGGAAGGAGGGTCGGAAAGCCTCAATTCGGGGGAACGTATCAAAAGCGCGGGGGAGGGATTGGGGGTGGTACGAAGTCAAGAACACCTCATCGCAATGAGCGTCTCGAGGGCGCAGGAGAGGGGTGGTGAATTTGCCAAGTGCAGCCCTGATAGCGGCAAATCGTATTTACCGGGGTGTACGGAGCAAGTCGAACAACAGTCAATCCGTCGTGTCTCCTCTAGTCTCCGCGCAAGATACCCGCAACGTCACCCGGTAAGGCGGTCAGGCGAGCCGAGACATGCGATGGAGACTATACCTCCATACAGGTATGGCTGTCTCAGTTATATATAGAACAGGAAGACCATATGCTATGCTGTACATCTATACCATGAAAGCCTATTACATTGAGTTCCGATGAAAATTGTGGTTGCTCAGGTACTGTCTGACTTGGGTGTATCGCGTGTCTTAGTCCAGGCTCGGAACTACTAGAAATGAGGCTTACACCAATTCGGGACTAGGTTTTTGTATGTAGATGGAGTATTTTGTCTCCAATTGCACATACTAGGATTGATATTGAATCAAATCCTCGTAGGGTTCAGTAGCATTAGTAGACAAGCAATGTGATCAATATAAGGCTGTGAGTATTTGGTTTTCCCCGGTGCCAGTTGCTGATCATAATAAAGTTTGATTATTCAGGCAGTAAGGCTACAAGGCCACAAGGCCACAAGGCAAAATTCAGGTCTCCACTCTCAGCCTACCCTAATCACATGACCCCCGCACAACCTAAGCGAGTCACACCAATTTCTTTCTTGGATACCCGGAACCTCATCGACGTTCAACCACCAACGACAACCCGGTCATTTTCCCACGAACCCCTCCCGCACAGTCAACATGTCCGACAACGGGGACGTCGAGGTCGCCGCCTTCCCTGTCCTGCCCAAGGAGGTTCTGGCCGAGCAGGGCAGCATCAAGCTGTTCAACAAGTGGAGCTACGATGATGTCGAGATCCGGGATATTTCCCTGACGTGAGTCTTTCTATCAGGTCCTCTATGCGCCGAGTGAATTCCTGTTGTGTGTGAGAAGAAAAGACGAGTTGAATTGGTGGAATGGCAAGACTTTTTTTCGACAACTTGAAGGGGGATATCGAAATTCTGTATCGGAGGAAACACAACACGATATGGGACTGGTTTTCTCTTCGCACACAGCAGGAAATCCACAGCGCACACGAGGACCGACAATTGCGCGACTATCAGGTTTACAGAGGTGCTGACCCGCCATCATAGCGACTACGTCCAGATCCGCTCCCCCGTCTACCTCTCCCACTCTGCCGGTCGCTATGCCGCCAAGCGTTTCCGCAAGGCTCAGTGCCCCATCATCGAGCGTCTCACCAACTCTCTCATGATGAACGGCCGCAACAACGGAAAGAAGCTCCTCGCTGTCCGCATTGTCGCTCACGCTTTCGAGATCGTATGTGCTACTCCGACGACCAATTCAACCATTCAACTATCCAATTCAGACACTAATCCTCAATTCTGCAGGTCCACATCATGACCGACCAGAACCCTCTCCAGGTCGCCGTTGACGCCATTGTCAACTGCGGTCCCCGTGAGGACTCCACCCGTATCGGTAGCCAGGGTACCGTCCGTCGCCAGGGTATGTGAAATAGAGTCTTGTCTCGCCACTTATTTTAAATGCTAACTCCGTTCCAGCCGTCGATGTGTCTCCCCTCCGTCGCGTGAACCAGTCCATCTCTCTGCTCACCATCGGTGCTCGCGAGGCCTCTTTCCGCAACATCAAGAGCATTGCTGAGTGCCTTGCTGAGGAGCTGATCAACGCCGCCAAGGGTTCTTCCAACTCCTACGCTATCAAGAAGAAGGACGAGCTCGAGCGTGTTGCCAAGAGCAACCGGTAAAGGGGTTGTGTTGGATTTGTTCTCCGTTTGGTCCTCTGTTTGCGTATACTGGAGTGGACGGGGTTTTAACCGGGATTCAGTGGATTCGCATGCATCTGCAAGGCTGTACATAATGTGATACAGTCAAGGAGGAAGCACGATCTTAAAAGGGAACGCAACGCATTCGGACGGCTTTCTTTGTAGTTGTGATGCGATCATGAAGACCTTGGGTCGTAAAGGCCTATTTCCTAAAAAGAAAAAAATTTCTTTTTTTCTCGTTTTTGAAAGGATCTAGCAACAGAATGTAGAATGTAATAAATGATCCAATATCTAATGTCTTCAATATTTACAACTTGAAATATTTTGATAGTGTTCTAGCCAAATCAGATAATTGCCAAGGTTGAGATTTTCCATCGCTTATCGATACGGAGAATACGGAGAAAAAAAAGTTTCGGACCTCCAACATACCCTTTCCCAACCACCACATTCTTATTACCACCGTCAAAATGGTGAAAAGAAAGCTTGGAGCCTTGGAAAAGGTCGAGGCTGACCTGTATGTATATCTTGTCTGAACGGGTGCGCCCATGATCAATCGATCAGAGGCTTCAGTCCGTGATGCTAACCTGTTTTTCTTTGCGATTTGCAGGCCCAATTTACAACACAAGATTCGCAGGGATCCCAAGTAAGTTATACCAGGAGATTTTCCATGATCTATTGCACTCGACCGTGGGCTAATTCCCGCTTTGCGCTATTCAGGTCTTATATCGAGGATTTCCGCGCCCAACACTACCAATATGAATCCCACCGTGAGATTTTCATGGCGGCACCCTCATCCGCTACGGATACCGGTGTGATCTCTCTTCGGGACCTCATTGACTTCATTTCCCATGTGGCCGACTGCTATCCGGGGATCTGTAAGGACTTCCCGCAACAGCTCATTGACATGCTCATGCAGCACCACTTGGTGTTGGAGACAGAGTTGCGGGAGAAGCTGGTTGGAAGTTTGGTGCTCTTGAAAAAGAAGGATCTTTTGGATTCAGCAACGTACGAAGACCCCCTACTCTCATTACTTCCCTACTTTTGACTCTAACCGCTACTCCAGACTACTCCACACTCTCTTCCCCCTCCTCATCTCGACACCTAGCAAGACCCTGCGCGCTCTGCTCTTCCAGAAAATTCTCTCTGAGCTGCGAACTGCAAATTCAAAGACCACTAACCACAAGCTGAACCGAACTATGCAAACCGTTCTATTCAACTTGGTCACATCAGACCGCACATCGGCTAAAGGCCTGTGGGCAATCAAAATCACCAGAGAGCTATGGAAGCGCCAAATCTGGACCGAGGCTAAGGCTGTTGAAATCATGAAGGAGGCAGCCTTGTCCCAAAATGAGAAGGTCATCATCGGTGGAGTCCGTTTCTTCTTGGGCGGCGATAAGGAGCGCGAGGAATTGGAGGATGAAGACAGTGACGAAGACGTCAATGTTGGCCAGGTTAAGCACCAACTTACCATCAACAAGAAGACCAGAAAGAAGGCCCGTGTCGCCGAAAAGGCCATCAAAGCGGTCAGGAACAAGGAGCGCAAGAAGGGCAACCCTGCTCCTCTCAACTTCTCCGCGCTTCATTTGCTGCACGATCCCCAGGGATTCGCGGATAACATGTTCTTCAAGCATCTCCAGAACGGCAAGTCCAAGTTGAATTTGGAGCAAAAGCTCCAAGTGCTCCAGCTGGTCTCCCGCCTGGTCGGCTTGCACAAGTTGCACATCATGCCGCTCTACTCTTACTTCCAAAAGTTCCTTACACCACGCCAACCTTCCGTGACTTCATTTTTGGCATCCCTGGCCCAGGCCTCCCATGAATTGGTACCCCCTGATGTCCTTGAGCCTCTAGTTCAGAAGATTGCAAACGAGTTCGTGTCCGAAGCATCTGCAGGTGAAGTTGCGACAGCTGGTCTGAATGCCATTCGTGAAATTTGTGCTCGACAGCCTTTGGCTATTGAAGAGACTCTGTTGCAGGATCTTGTCATGTACAAGAAGAGTAAGGATAAGGGTGTCATGATGGCCTCCAAGGGTCTCCTCAGTCTTTACCGTGATGTTGGTGCGCAGATGCTGAAGAAGCGTGACCGTGGCAAGGAGGCCGCAATGAGTCTGCGCGCTGGCGACAGACAAGAGAGACGTTACGGTGAGCAGGCGGCTGGCGAAATTGAGGGCCTGGAACTCTTGGCCAAGTGGAAAGACGAGGAGCGCCGCAAGAAGAACATCGAGAATGGTCTTCCATCCGATGCCGAAGATAACGAAGAGGAGAATGAGGAAGCCAACTGGGCAGCCTGGAACGTCGAAGATGACGAGGACAGTGATATTGATGGAGAATGGATCAATGTGGAGGAAGATGTTGAAATTGTACTGAGCGACTCCGAGGATGAAGGCAAGCCAGCATCCAAGAAGGCCAAGCAGGAAGAAGAGGCCAAGAAGGACACCGAAAAACAAGTGGATGCCGACAAGGCCATCGATTTCATGAAACTGGCCACCACCCGCATTCTCACACCCGCTGATCTCGCCAAACTTACGGAGCTTCGCGCCCAGGCAGCAGCTGAGGCCACTCTTCCAGGCAACAAGGGCCGCGTCGCTGCCCCGTGGACCTCCCGCCATACCGATGACCCATTGACCGCTGGCGAGATTGAGGGTCTTGCTGCCCTATCTGCCGCCAAGGCCACTCGTGAGGAACGTATTGCCCACGCCAAGGAGGGCAAGGCTGACCGCTCTGAACATATGAGTAAGGAGGCTCGTCGCAAGGAACGCAAGGAGGAGCAAGGAAAGAGTACTACCAACAAGGAGAAGGCTCGCAAGAAGAACTTCCTCATGACGCTGGGTAAGGCGCGTAGCAAGAACAAGAGAAGTTTGGTGGAGACCCGTGCTGTGCTTCGGGCTCATGTCGACCGTGGCAAGAGAGGTGGACGCAGAGGAAACGTTGGCCAGTGATAGGCCTTTTATGTCCCTTAAAAATAATGATTTGTTATATACAGTACATTACTTTTGTTGCAGGCTTGCAGGATAGATTATAAAGAGCATATACTACCCTCGTGAGCATGGTTTTACCACTACATTCGAATTCAACTAGTACCTCAGTATAGAAAGACTACTTTGAAAGACTAGTACAACAGTATCTTTGTATAAAGAAATCCACTAATTCAAAGTAGTAGATTGGCTCTAAGACGCGATGTAAAGTGGGGTGGTAATCTGCGATCAACGCGTACCGCGTTAAGTGGCGGTCCCGTTGCCCGAGCAGCCCTCGAATTTCCTTTTTCCCTTTTTCTTCTCCTTTGCACATTCCACTACGTCACTCCCTACGCATTTAGAGAGAATACTCCCATGAGATCTGAAATCACTTACCTCAAATCTATTCAAACGACATATCTCCCCGGGAGTATCCCAAACCCCTATTCCAAAATGCCCATCCTACCTAGCACCGACTTGTCGAAGCGTCGTCGCTTCCAACCTCCTATCACAACCTTCTTCACATCTGCCTCGGAGCCAGTGTCTTCAGATACACCTACAGTATCGCATCACCACCATTACGCCGCAGAAACATTCTCTGCTCACCCTGTCGTGCCTGCCAAAGTTCAATCCTCACTTCTGTCCGTTGGAATGCGAGTCCGGAAATCTGTCGCAGATGGTTATAGAACCCACATGTCCAACGCAGAACAAAAGGCCCCACTCCATGCACCTGTCGCTCAGACCCCTAGCGCCCAACCTTACCATGGCAGCAGACCTTCTGAGCTGCCGCCGTTTTCTGGGGCTGGTAAATCCTCCTTCAGCCACGATGACTACCTCGTCACCGACGATGGTGACGAATACTCAATCCCATCAAGCAGCCAGGACTCGACTGTGTCATTGCCTTTGGGTGGTCAAAAGCGGGGCTTGGAATTAGATCGTGATATTCTTGTCGATGAGGACGCTGATGAATCATTCAACAATTTCGGCGCACCCATGCGCGAGAACTCATATGGACGAACCATCTTGTCTCCAAACTTGGGCCAGAGCCGACGTATTCTTGCTGTGCGTCAGACCAAGGTTGAACAGCCCACTATGGAGATGGATGATTTCGAGGAAGCTACGTTCCTCCGCCGGCGTGAGGAAGTTGATGCAGAGGATGTGCGGATGTACGGTGCTTAGACTGTTGGTTCTCACTTCTCGTTTTCCTTCTGTTATGAGCCACTGCATGGCATGATCTTTTATTTTCTTTGCTTGTTCCCGGGGCCTGGAATCGGCTTGGTCTCTTTTACCAGACTTTTATTATACCCCCTGTTGTTCCATGCTGTACCATATTGTCTTGTATCATATCTTTTTTTTTCACCTGCAGAGCAGTGAATGTGATTTATCAAGGCCGTTGTTTCATACTTTTAGATTCTACTAATCAGGCTTGTAGCTACCAATAGCGGGGGTAGATGTCATGCTAGCACCTGGAAAATACTCAGTGTAAGTATCCACTGAGCCAGTCACTCTTAAACTAAGACTGAAATAAATAGTAGACAAAAGATCAAGCAACCAATGAACGAGATTAATTATATATATAAAAGAACGGTCACAAGTATTAGACGTGGAATATATCCCTCCGTCCCGAAATATAGTCCTATAGTATTCCAAATCACCAACCTAGCAATCTTGCCCAGTATACTCGAATCTTCAAAAGTCTCGGAAGTCGGAGAGGAGGATTATTATCTGATAGTACCAAAACAGCCTTCTTTTTGCCCATACGATAGTTATCATTGTTGACAACGTTAATGTTATCCTTCAAGGTAGCGCCGAAATCAGTATCAATGTCAATAAGCTGTCCCAACTCAATATCTGGATCTTCTGGCATGTCTTGCTTGAGCGAGTCTCGATTTATTCGATATCGAACGAGAGGATTTATCCAAGTGTCACTGGAGGCCATAGTCTCGATGTATAGGTATTTTAGAGATGAAAAGTGTGAAGTAGAAAGAAGAGATATGTAACTAGGTAATATATAGTTTGTAGTAGTTAACTATATATAACTATATACACATCCGTATATGTACTAACTAGTAGCTAATTGACTTTCTACTTCCATTCTATCGCCGCTTCTGTTTACGGAGTAAAGTAAATCATCGTGATCCATGGGTTATATACCGGACTGCATTTTCATTCCAGGTCATGCTATTAATTACCTACATATGCAGAGTATGTACTGAATTTTAGGCCGATGCCCGATTGGGGTGTAACAGGCCATGCTTAGTAATGCTCAAGTCATGCAGGTGCCCAGGTGCTCTGGAAGGTTCCAACCTTGGAAGGTTAGGCTGAGCAGGTCATCTTAGACTGCGGTGGTGATGGTCTCGGGACCAATGCCTCCTAGGTACTACCTAGTCACATAGTACTAACTAACTAGTACCCGTGCTCTGGGGAAACTTTTGTTTGTATAGTTTGTTTGTATATGTTTGTGCTGTTTAGCTTGAGGCCTAGCTGACAAGACAACTAACTGTTCGGTCTTCTGGGTTCCGAGCTGAGTAATTCATGTCCTAACGTTCCCACCATTGCAGTACTTATAAGCAGACCAATCCTCGATCCTTGATGTCTCTATATCAAACTATCTTCCTCCCACTCAATCATTAATTTACTCGCTATGTCTCTCAAAACCATCACTCTCTGGACCCTCAAGGGCCACGCCGGCGCACCTAATCCCTGGAAGGTCCTCATGATTCTGGAGGAGCTCAAGCTTCCCTACGAGCCCAAATTGGTCGATATGGCCGACGTAAAGAAGGAACCTTACGAGTCTATCAATCCTAACGGTCGCGTTCCCGCCCTCGAGGATCCGAACACCGGAATCACCATCTGGGAATCCGGCGCCATCCTCGAGTACCTGGTGGACACATACGACAAGGAACACACCATCAGCTTCCCCACCGGCTCAAAGGAGTACTACGAAAGCAAGCAGTGGCTACACTACCAGATGTCCGGCCAGGGACCGTACTTTGGGCAGGCCGCCTGGTTTGCGATCTACCATCCCGAGAAGGTGCCCAGTGCTGTCGAGCGCTATATGAACGAGATCCGTCGTGTTTCCGGCGTGCTCGACCGAACCCTCCAGAACAAGGAGTATCTCGTTGGCGGCAGGTACAGCTATGTTGATGCTGCTTTTATGCCGTGGTTTGAGGTAGCTGGGCTTTTCTGGTCGAAGGAAATAGATCTCGAGAAGAACTTCCCGCATGTTAATTCCTGGTTGAACCGTATCAAGGCTCGTCCGGGTGTTGCCAAGACTATTGATGCCAAGGCAATGGCCGCGGCTGCTGCGGAAAGGAAATAAGACAATGTGATGGCGGACGAAGTTCCTAGGTAGAAGGCGAGGGCTTGATTGAATCCAAATACATATTATCTTTTATACCGATGGCGTTTTTCTTGTTTCGTTACTAGTTCTGCTACTAGAGACACCTCGGGGGCTAGAAACAGACAGCGTCTACATCGTTTCCACTTGAAACTCTCTTCTCCACTCTCCCCGGACTTCATTTGATAGGCTCCACTACCCAAATCTCACAGTTTGTTTCTTCACCCATCAAACCACTCCCTGGATGCTTAGAACCTTCTATAAATCCCGTGATGTATCGGAGATACAGAGCATTCTTCAGTCTCGACGGGAGTGGAGAAAGTCCAGTATGATCGCCTGCAGACCTTCTAGATGTCTATAGTGGACACCGTAATGCACCTTTCCGTTATCCCCCAAAGCCTGCTAGATCTAAAAATGGGTTGTTGTTTTTATGGAAGTAAGAGAGAAGTAAAGGAAAGAGCTCGGGGTTGACGTTAGCCGTGCCTGCCTTGAAGTTCCTCAAGGAAAGAGCGTGCACTTGCCTAAACATCCATAACAGCCCTGGACTTATCTTTCACTCTCATCCACAACTCTGCTTATTGAAGTTTGGCGAGCTGAAGGCGACATGAGGGGTATTGTGGTCCACATGCATCAAGCAGCGAGAGAGTGATGCAGTGAGGCTTTGCTTGCTTTTCAGACCTCTCTTTGTCCTCATGGAGCATAAAAGACCCTATGGCGGTAGATAAATTCAACACCTTCATCTATCTCTGTTTCTTCTTCTTGATCTACGTGGATCATCATGTGGTCCATTGAGCAAGGGACTGACATGAATGAAAACTTGATTCATAGATGGTATATATTGAGTAACACTTCGCCTATATAACTAGGTATAACCTAGGAGAGTGTCCATAACGAACAGCCTATTCCCTAGTATCCCAAACGGTGATGATTATAGTGTTGGACTTTCAGGCAAGTTGTCGTGATAGACGCTTGGCCAGCGGATGGATACACACTGGTCATATGGTGGAAATACGATTGAAGAGGAATAATCTCAGATATCTTTTGATGTGCCATCACTAGCCTGGTGGTAGTGACTGGTGTCCATTCCCATGGCTTCTCGAACCACGTGGTCCGGACTGTCTTTGGGACTTTAGTAGATAAGGATGCGGCCTTCCTACAGGTGTTTTTCTTCTTTTTGCAACAATGGCTGAGAGTAACGAAACTCCAGTAAGTCTCATCTTCTGTTGATGGCCGTGTCTTGTGTAGTGCTTCCTCTACTTCATATACAACACCAAACTCCTACTTGTACGAGCGGACCACTCGACAAAGCCAGCATGGCCGGTCTGAGTGGCTCTATGGCTGATGGAAATCCAAGCTTCCATCGATATACACTCTCAATCCCCCTATGCCTTCATTGCAACAGAATTTGCGAGACCCCATTAACTACTGAGATGTGAATATCAACTGACAGCTGTGCCAGGTCATCCCTCAGCCACAATGCTGATATTTGAATAAATATAAGCGAGGAAACCCCCAAGTCTGTGGGGGGCACTCCCCATAGACTACTCTCCAGTCGCTGATCCCGAAATTGGGCCTCGCCATTGAGGAAGCGGAAGCGCTCATCGAATTCCTACCAAATCACCTTAGAATTTGTGGAGGACCGCCCAGCTACCCCCTTGAAGTCCCACGGGGCTAGTGGGCCTAAACAACGACACATCAACAAGTCTGCCTCACCGCGAGTACTATCTATCCAGACCCTTCCTTCTAGGGCCTATGGCCTTCACTAGCTATGGGGGGAGGGGAACCAAGGTTTTTCAAATATCAATCACAGTCAAATAGCTGTCACTATTGCTTCTTATTATTCTTGGTTACGAAGTACTGTGTCGGTTCAACGAGGGATGTTATAGTAGTCTATAAACCTAAGAGATCTATCTACCTAGGTATAAACCAAAAGAACGTCCTTGATGAACTCCCACCGGTAAAGGCGCAACTAAGAAAGCTTTGATCATCCATATTACCTTCATCCCTCGCATTTAGTCTGGGAACTGAGGATACTATCTGTGACATAGAAGGCCAAGTGTACAATTGTCTCTGAACACCATCACTAGTTGAACCTAGACCTTGCTTGGTGTGCATAAACAGCACCGGCAACATCACCAGTGCCTGGAGCATAACCAGTGCCTGCAGCGGTGATGAGAGCCTTTTTAAGCTCTTTGTACTCGGAAGAGGAAAAGGAAGAGGACAAACTAAAACAAGAGCATTATACACCTGGGCACTACTTTATACTTGCATGTGACTTATATGTGACCCTGGAGGGTTGGTACATCTCAGACTATTCCTCCTCCCTCTTCCATAAATTATTCCATAAACTAGAGGATAGTAGAAAAAGGGAGAAAAGAGCAAGTTAGTTATATACATGGATGTTATGTACATGTAGGTACATCATGCATGGTCGCCTAATGCATATGCCTCATGCAAGGCTCCTAGTCGAGATACTATATATTAGAATGCTAGGTTTACTTTTATAAGATAGGATATCAGCATGAAGAACAAAGACCTTGATTGTATCAATCCTCGAGAACAAATGAATTGGAAGATACCGTGAAACGCCATGTACTGTACCCCGGAACGCCATGTGTAAACATTCAAGTCATATCCTCTCAACCAAAGAGATACTTCTGCCAGCTCTGTTTCCAAGGTTTCCAGGTTCCCCCAAACCGATGGTTAATACAAGCATGCTGACTATTGAAGTCCTCCGATCCAGAATGCCGCTGTCCATTACCCCAAGCATTGACCGGTAGAACACACAGCCCTCCCAGGAGCTTTCCGGCCTTCGCTTCGGGGCCCTCAACACAGACCGGTTCTTGAATCCCGTGGAAAGGAGCCCACGTCACACGCTGCATAGACGAAGCCGAAGATGAGAACTTAGCGTCCGCATCCGCAGACTGCTGAACTAATCGATGCGTCGATGGCAATGTTTCCGATAGCACGTCGAGAATCGCATCTGTAAATACGCCCGGACCGGTGATCTCCAGCGTATCCATTTCGTTGTATTTCCCACTCCAGAAATGACTCCCGTCAACTCGCTTCTTCGTATGTGACAGGACACGGACGATGATCTCCCTCAGTAGCGGACTGAACCGTTGTGGCGCATACATCGTGTACTGGATGAAGCCGTAGCGTCGCGCCCAGTGCCAGTCGCGCATCTTCTGTGGCGATGCGAAGGGCTCGTCGATCTCGATCCCCACGACTAGCGAGATATTTGCGTTGATGGTGTTGTCTTTGAAAATGGAATCGTGTAGTGAGGGACAAGATTTGATGCTTCGTGCGGGATATACGTCGATATCTGCGTAGTAGCCGCCATAGTACCATAGAATCAAGTAGCGGAGAAGATCGCCCCGGTGGACGGAGTGTGGGTATGATTTGTAGAGTCGGGCGATGTCTGGGATGGATTCCAGAGTCTCGAAAATGAATTTGTCCGCCCAGTCGGCTTGAACGAGCTTTAAAATAATAAAGTCAGTTGCAGTGGTTATCAAGTTGGTATTTAATTACGAGAAACATAAGTGGTTGAGGTCGTTATTAGTCTTACGTTGTATTTCCATTCCGAGTTCTTTTGTTCGAATTGGATTGAATCATCGCTTCGCTCGTTGACACCTGGTAGCATAATCTGCCACAGTGTGTCTGTCGCGTCCTCATCAGGGTGCATTTTTCTTTCTATCTCCATGGTGCGTAGGGCATTGGACAGGTTGATCTCATATTCATAGTCTGGGTTCGCGCGAAATGTAGACTGGTGAAGATATTGTGGTCGGTCTTCCCCGTTTGAATTCTCATTGCGGGGGTCAAGCCTAGATGTTGGCGTGGGCACGGACTTGAAAAGAATGAAGAGGGTCAGTATCGCGGCCACCAGGACATATTTATGCCGGTTCGGAGAGCCTAGAAACACGCGATTCCTCATGGTGAATGGTGAGAGGACAATCCATAACAGATACAAGACAGGGTACGGAGTAGAAGGGTGAATTTTCTTTGGGCTGTCAGCTTTCACCTTAGATAACCTCGGGAAGGCTTCGTGTCATTGGTTTCAGCTGATTGGTGTAACTGGGATAGACCCTGAATAGGGCTAGTGCTGACTCTGATATTTGGAGATCTAGAGGTAGATAAGACCTATGAATAGGTATTGTGACTCGTTTCTTTGATTTCAAGTTTACTAACCTCCAATATAAGAACATGAGTAGAAGGAATTGGAACATTCTAAGAACATTCCTCCCATGTTTTTAATTGTAGATCGACCTGAGTGGATGTCTTGGCAAAGGTCTTGGCATAATCTTATCGGGGATCTACGGAGCGATAAGGAACTATGGAGCGATAAGGCACAAATAGGAACTCTTCCTGAAAAGCTTGGCTATACTTTGTATAGCATCAGAATGTTTATTTGCTTATTTGATATATTTTAAAATCTGTGTGAATATTATGATTACTGTCTTTTTAATTTATCTAATTCTTTGAATGGCAAATAGGACCCGGATAGGTCGGCACCCGTTTGATACACCTCGATTCTTTCATCTGACCTCAACACCCAAAACGCGTAAACAGCTCACTCGAAATCACGTGCCACAATAGCTAGGCAAGTATTGTTTACATCGGGCAAGCATTAGAACTATCTCTCTTTCTCTTCGACAAGCCTTCGTCCCCAGTCATACCTCACTGTATGTGCTCTCTTCCATAAGGGAGATAGCAACGACTCTACGGGTATGCGTGATCTCTAATAAACGAAATATAAGATGGACATGAGCTTACAATCTCATTTAGCACGATGGAAAACAAATCAAGCAGCGGAGCAGGTGCGGTCCCCGCACAGATCGCAAGACAAATTAGGCAAAACCAAACTCGAGGCCGTACAACAGGACGTTCAGGCGTACCAAACTCCCAGAACAGCACCCACCGATCTGGCCAACACCGCAACCCTATTAGGCCTGGTATGGGCAGCAGCCGCTTCGCCACTGTTCAAGATGACGTGCAAAGCCCCTCTGGCCCTGATCCTATGGAATTTGATCCGATGGATATCGACACTCCTATCCAAGAACCTGCACCAACCACCACCGGAGCTCACACGAATGAACAAACTGGAGAGAATGGAGTTCACCGTCACGTCTTCTACATTCCAATTCGCTCTCGCCCCATGCCGACGCTCGACCTGGACGTGTTGACCGCCGCTCGCACTGAAGTGGCTCACATCCAAAGATCAGGTCTCCCAGTTCTGCAAACCTTGCCCGAGCGACCTGGACCCCATGTCTACATTCGTGTTGACACTGAGCAGCCAAACCGTGACAGTGCACTCACGGATGCCAACCTTCGGATGGGTACCATGCAGGACATGATTCGCGATGGTCTTGGCTGGTTCTCTGGTTTGCCTTACCGCCACCCGCATTTCGAGGTGAAATTCCTTCGCGGTCGACGCCTCTAGATTGAGGCTTTATGACTGAATGAATTTCTGAGCTTTATGAGCATTGTTTCCGGGTGAGAAGTGGGATTGATGAGCTTAGTATGGAAGGTTCAGTGAGAGGGATTTGAGGTACTTTGACAACCAATGTGGTCTTGGGTGAGCAAGATTCGTTAGTTAGACATTGTTCCTGTCGCTCCTTCCGTTCTGTCTCTTCTCTCGTTCTCCTGCCTCTTCTCCCCATTCTTACATTCAGATAGCCACAAATGCTATTCTTAGTGATTTTACTTCATGGGCCATATAAACCTATCTACTTAGCCTACGGGACCGAGAATAGAGTAACCAGTGACGCATTCTAGAGTTCTACAAAGATAACTAGTGAATTTCAAGTGATCCCAAACACCATAGCTTCATAGCTTCTAGAACGCCATGACAAACTCCCGCAATGCAATTCCCATCCAATTCCACCGAAAAACAAAATACTAATCTTCAATCATCCACTGGACGTAACGCCAAGGTAGTCTCCTTCTTCTCATATCCTTGCCAAGCCCGTTCAACAGCCTGGATGGTAGACCAGACCTGCTCACGAGCATGCTTCCGACTGACGCCCTCCTCTAGCAACTTCTCATAAGGCGTATGGACATGTCGAATATGCGCCTCAACAGCCAAGAGGGTCTTTTTCTCGTCGCTGATCATCGCTGTGCGCCCTACACGCCCAGATCCTTTGAGGAAGGCGTGCTCCAGGACGATTTTGAGGGTTTCTTTGGGCATAAGCGGGAATTCGGTCTTTAGGAGTTCTCGCGATTTGGAGAGATCTTTGGCATCGCGAATTTGCACAGCATTGGCGCGTGTTTCTTTGGTTGCGGCGGCTGACTCGAGAACTTCTATGTAGATTTCTTCCGGCACTCGGATTCCCAGGGTTCTTTTGCCTGTGCGGTTCTGGGGCTGTTAGCGGTCCTTTTCTTGACTTGAAACTGGTGGTTTGGGTGAGGATTTACGTAAACAACATAGACAGTTCGCTCGGACTCCTTGGTCTTACTGCGGCAGTGTCGAGTGATGTAGACATCGCCCTTGGGGACTAGAACGTAGCCATCTGGCATAGGTACTTGCTCAACAATGTTCTGGGATACATGTTTAGCGGAGTATTCTTCAATATCAATACAGCTCAAACTCACCTTTTCAAGTGGATCATCAGAGACAGGAATGAGTGCGGCCCATGTTTTCTTGGGTTTCCGACGCCTCGTCTCGTTGAGTACTTCGGCGAGCGGTTGGTCTGGCGAGCCTCCATCTATCGGACGTGCGTGACCTTCGCGAGTGCGGACACCACGGTTCCTCTTTCTCATGCGTGGCTTGCGTTTGCGAACTTTGGGTTTAGTTGTTGGTGCCATGTTGAGTGTTCATGGAGCCAAGGAGGTTGCTGAGTTGATGGATGACACGGTGGTGAGATGCCACTCGCACGTCGATTCCATTTAGGGAGACCCTCTGGCAGCACTGAGATCTGATTGTTGTTCGATGTTATTTTTGGATCTGAAACACTTTGGGGGCTTTGATACTTCCACCGTTTACGGTCAAAGCAGATCAGGAACGGTGGCTGTGGCTCTGTGGCTCTGTGGCTGTGGGGAACCTTGCTTTGGTGCCTGGATAATAAGGCATTCAATATGCACCAAGAACAGTTTGTCTTTCTGGCATCTACGGAGTATAAGAAATCAATTATGATTACACGTGTACATTTTGATACCACAATTCATACTTGAACTACTACAAAATATAGATACATAGGCGATTTCTGGTTTCCACCTTAGAACCCGGCTCGTATTACTCTTTGAGACGAACTGGATACATCTACTCTCCAAAAGTACAAGTAGGATCCCGATATATTGTCGTTGATTATACGGAGTAGACCAGGTGTGAATGGACTAGTCCAATATGGTGATATCACACACGAGATCAGCATAAACTGGAGAACCGATTGTCCGGGGCTCATTGGTCGGATCCATCCCCCTAGAGACAGATTTTATGGACTAAGATTAGGATCATCAGATCTCTAGAGTGTGAGATCGGGGTTACGTTTTTGTTGAAGGTCTAATCCAAGACACTCTCGGATGTCCTCCATATGTTGTATCTAATGTCGCCATACTTCGTGCGGGGCATACAATATAGATAATCGTCACCAGAGTCAAGATAAAGCGAGTATGGGGAAAAGGCGTGGAGCATGGAGCAACTAATATAATATTTGGACAAAGAGACGCCAAGGCGGGTTCACTAGGGGCTTAGCTCAATCCTGACTATCCCAGACGAACACGGGGTTGAATTTCCCCCTTTCATCCACGAGGGGGTTCTCAAGGTGGAATATCTGAGACTATGAAGGTTGAAGGTTGAAGGTTGAAGCTCCGAATCTCCAAATCTCCAATAATGGCTTCACTCATACTCCGTACAACATGCAACATACAACATTGCAGGTACAACACACATAACTATATCGCATGTCCGAAGACTCCACAGCTCATATGTTGTCATTGGTGAGATTGGTCTTTGATCTCACTGCCTAGAAAGGCTGGACCGGAATCCCCGACGGCTCTTGTCGAGTACTATTGTAGGTCTAGATCGACAGACAAGGGGAAGAAGGTCTGACTTAGAACACCCCAGTATGATTCATATTTCTGTTCCTGCATGAAGCACAACATACAACATACATCCAGATGTTGTATATGTTGTACTCCGTACATACTAGGAACATTGAAGACCGGAAGATGAAAGAGCTGTGGATCAGTGGATTCTGTTGGAAAATCAAATAAAAAAAAGCCGAGTCTCTAACGAGAGTCCCCACGTAAAAAAGAAATAAAAAATACAAAAAAGAGGATTAAAAAAAAGGGTATTTTTCATTTGAGTGAAAGAAAAAAAATGACAAACAGAGCAAAAGGAAAACATCTCTCTCTCTCTCTCTCTGTCTCTCCTCTCTCCAACTCCTCCTTCCAATACCCCCATTCCTCCCTTTATAAAACTCTACACACACAATATGAATTAACTAATGATCTTACTTGTTATCTCCAATCTCTGTCATTCTCAATCAATTTAAAGTTGCCTGGCAGCTTGATCTTCAATGGTTACTGGGTCTGTGTTGCTGACATGAGTTGGGATCACCCTGTCCACAGGTATGCATCTCCCTTGACAGACCCCCTTGTGTGGGGGGTATCACATTTGTAGTCTTGGATTCTTTTTTTTTTTTTTACCAATCTATACTACATATCTATGTGAAAAGAAAAAAGACGCTCATGGATTCGTTTATGTTTAGCTTCAGCTATCCTAACGGTGAACCTCAAACTCCAACGAGGACTCCGAACACCTTCGACTCGTTTCACACCCCAAAACTCGAATCTAGCTTTTTTGACCCCCGGGTGACCTGGGATACCTCCGATCCATATGCCTCCAGCCCGGAGCTCCTTCGCACGCCGCAAAAGTTCGGTCTAGGCTCGTCGAATTCACTGAAAGGTCACAATGGGGAGACGACTGGTTACAGGGGGAGATCTTCGGACCAAACCGATACGGCCAGACGCATTCGCTCGGTGAAGCCTCTTCCGACTATGGGCGAGGAATACCCTCGGACAGTGGGGTCGGCCAAATCAGCAGCCTCAATGCAAACACCGCCGCCGACAAGTGCATCAAGACGAAAAATCCCCGAGTTTGACCAGCCCGATGGACATACACAAGGAGCAACGCCGGGCATGGGAGGTCATTTGGAAACACCCAGTCGTCTTCTCGGAGCGTCTCCTCGAATGTTCGGCAACCTCCAGTCGTCGCCCGATCTTTTTCAGTTGGCTTCATTGGATCCCACGGGCTCGCCTTTCTTCCCACAGCAACGACTTTTCTGGGATCATGATCTAGACAATACAGTGAGCGAGGTTCCCTTACCTAGCAACGAGACCAATGTCAATGCTCGTCAGACTTCTGCCTTTACAAACACACATCAAATCCCCCAATTACCAACCATTAGTGGTTCAATTCCCGACTTTGGCAACGGCTTTGGAATTTCAGCACCACCACCCACTGATGCTGCCCTATTTCCTGCGCCGTTCTCGACCTCTCCCCGGCTTCCGGTCACCAAGGCTGAGGATCCGGCTCTGTTTCTCAGCTCCCCTGCTCGGAGATTCGGAGGGCCTCAAATGACACCAGAGACACGGTCTCTTCGCGGCCTTCGACAACCCTATCACCACCAGGCAGAAGAGTCAAGGCGGGAGGAGCTTATTCGTTCGCAGGCACCAGATGGCCACCGATCTGATCCTTTTACTGCCTTCCCGAGCGAGAGCGACGAGGAGGATGACGACTACACACCGAGGGGAATACGACCAGGTCTAACCCGTAGTATGACCCATAACGGCCTGCCTAGCTCCTCCCGGCAGCTCAGTCAACCTGGGGGTTTGATGGCATCCACCAGTGGAATCCGCAAGAGCCCATGTAAAGGGCGTTCGTCTCCAGCGAAGCCCATGCGTCCAGCCCCCTTGACACGATCTAGTTCGACGGCCACCGGCTCCTTGACGCGCTCGTCGTCTGTAGTGCTTCGCATCGGTCGAGATGGCCGTGCAAAGGCTGAAATGGAGCCACTCAGTGAGACTCCTACAGGGTTGACTGACCCCCTGACCGGGATTGATCTGGATGGCTCTACAACCGAGAGTGAATCAGACCCAGCCGAGTTCTCGGAATATCCCGTGTTGCATCGCGCTCAGTCGTCCTTTTCGCTTTATGACAGCTCAAGGCGTCCACTATCCCGGAGTGATTCAGGCTCCCGGCCTCCTTCAAAGGGCTCCTATGCTTCCACCGTCGGTTCATCACACTCGGGTCGGATGTCACCCTGGGCTGGCTCTTCTAGGGGAGGCGGGCGAGCAACGTATCGTGGATCTCCTGATATTAAGCGGACACCCAAACGGCATTCCTCTCTGCTGCACTCGGACTCGACATATACTCGGAGTAGCGTAGCATCAGACTTGTTGCCCGGCGAGGAGGACGAAAGTGGTGATGCTCAATCTGCGCTCCGACAGGTTCTTAAAGAACGTGGCCGGGGACCAAGACCCGCCGCGAACGCGTTTGGCAACCGACTTTCTCGATCATCACATACCTTCACTCATCTCCGCTCATCACCACCCCGCCTTGGCAGTGATTTTGACATACATCCCCGCCACAATGCTTCTCCCACGACCTTGACCGACCCTGACCTGGCAACCCCCAGCACAGACCGTCACAGCAACCCCAGTAACGGTACACGATGTGTCTGTCGCTCGATGGATAACGGTGGTCATCTCATGATTCAATGGTGAGTCCCAGTCTCCATCGGCGTTGATTCCAAAGTTGATTGTACTAACTTTCCCAGTGAGTCGTGTACACATTGGCTGCATACCAGATGTGTTGGATTGGAGCGTGCAAACCTGCCCTCTGTCTATGTCTGTGTGTTTTGTGCCCAAACACCATCCCGCCAAAACCGTGCCCGGACAACTTATGTCCCCATGGAGCAAGCCCCTCCCTCTCCCTTGGCCCACAAGTCATTCCGCCTCCGGTAACCCCGGTGCGTTGGCTACCGTCTTGGATACATATATGTCTTGGAAAGACCTTGTGTGATTCATCCCCTATCCGGGCTCTTTTATACTCTGCATTAGCCGGGCCACCCTGCCCCATCTCATAATCGCCCTTCTCAGAACCCCTCCTGAGACCCCATTACCCACCTTATGATACCTATGTACTATTCCCTCACAACCCTGGACAAAACCAGAATAGAATCATTTCAATACTTCCCCGCACATCTTCGCTTATGTTGTAAAACTGCAGAACTCCCCGCATATCGGGGTAGCGAACCGGTCTCGGGAGAGGAGCCGGCCCGGGTTGTCTACCTAACCCCAAGAAGACCCGGCTGATTTAGTTTTATAATAGCCCATCCCTCTTCCTTGATCGCTCAATTGTATGCCGCTTAGTCTGCTGCCTAGGTAATTGACCGAACCTCACTGTGTTTGCCGTTCCAAAAAGAGGAAAAAGAAAAAGAAAATCCTTAACAGGTACCGGAGATTATATAGATCGGACTGCACTCTGATTGGCCCACCCACACTTATCGGCTCACCGCCTGTTTTTTATCGAAAAAGTGCTTTTCTCCCCGCAGAGTCAGAGTGCCCTCCCTCTTTTTTTTTGCGCGCCATTCATTTCTCTTTGGTCTCACTCCAGTTTGTGCTTCGTCATTCATTCGCTCCAATGTCTGCCTCTCTCCCTGGCAGTCGGGACCTTCCCCCGTCGCAATATGACCTGAAGACCTATTGGGGTCGCGTGCGCCATGCTGCCGATATTGCTGATCCTCGGTAAGTTCACAGAGACGAAGATTGGTCTCACTGAGAGGGTTGTCCAACATATACTAATCATGTCAATTATATTAGAACTCTATTCGTTTCGCCCACCGGTCTTGAAGGCGCCAAAAGCCTCATTGCTTCTTACAAGCAGAACCGCATCCCGGGCATGACTCCGGAGTTGTGGTCGGCGAAGAAAGTGGTTGACGCGACATTACACCCTGGTATGGATTCGTCCAATCTTATAAAATAGCCGTTTGCTAACTCATGACCGACCAGATACTGGAACGCCCGTTTTCTTGCCCTTCCGCATGTCGTGCTATGTGCTCACGAACTTGGTCGTCACAGCAGGCATGTTGACCCCAGGATTGCAGGTGAGCGTCTTTCCACATATATCTGATTTTACACTCGGAGAAGTATACTGACAATATAGACAACCGGCACCCTCCTCTGGCAAATCGGTAACCAGTCCCTCAACGTCGCGGTCAACAACGCAAACGCAAACAAATCCACCCCTCTCTCCTTGTCGCAAATCGGCAAGTCATATCTCATGGCCGTCTCAGCCTCCTGCTCCGTCGCTGTCGGCCTGAACGCCCTTGTCCCCCGCCTCAAGAGCATCACCCCAAACACCCGCCTCATCCTCTCCCGTCTTGTCCCCTTCGCCGCTGTCGCCTCCGCCTCCGCCCTGAACGTCTTCCTCATGCGCGGCGAGGAAATCCGTCAGGGTATTGATATCTACCCCGTCCTGTCAGAGGCTGAGCGTGCCAAGCGTGAGCTCAGCGAGGACGCTGGGCCAGTTCAGAGCATCGGAAAGAGCAAGAAGGCTGCTACCCTCGCCGTCGGTGAGACGGCTATCTCCCGTGTCCTGAACGCTACACCTATCATGGTCCTACCGCCGCTGATTCTCGTTCGTCTCGAGAAAACGAACTGGCTCCGTGCCCGTCCCCGTATGGTCATGCCTATTAACTTGGCGCTCATTCTGGGTACTTCCATCTTTGCACTGCCGCTTGCACTCGCTGCGTTCCCGTCTCGCCAGGCTATCAGTGTTGATAGCCTTGAAGAGGAGTTCCGGGGTCGTGGTGGTGATCTCGGAATGGTGGAGTTCAATCGCGGAATGTAAGTTTTGGATCTTCGGCGTTCCGCAGCGTGCATATTACATTGTCTTTGCATAGGTCAGAGAATTAAATAGACCGGGTTTTTCCGTTTAAATGTCAATACTATTGTTGTCCGTTATAAAACCATTCAATATAGAGCAGGCACCACTCTACCCTTAAGAATCCTCTCAGCCCGTTCTGCAATATCCAGCAATTCATCGTCCCCCCAACGCCGGCCCATCAGCTCCAATCCAACAGGAACACCAAGCACAGCAGACGCAGTCGCAGGGCTCCGCCCAGCTACATTCCCCATATTAGTACAATACTAAACATTGAATGGAATCACCTACCGGGAATACAAATAGCAGGCCTCCCCGTCAACGCAGCTAAAACGCCATTCCGTCCAGACTGCGTCTTCGCACCGATCTTCACAGCAAGCTGTCTCTGGTGCGGATATACCAGCGCGTCGATATCATATTTATCGAAACATTGCTTCACAGACTTTTTGAGAGTAGCAATATGCTCCAGTCGACTTCGGTATGCCTCGCTCGTCAGTGAAAATGTCTCTGGATCCTCCAGTGCCGCAGAGAAAACATGCGTCATGGCTTGTAGATCGAACTCGCCGCTCTGGGCAATAGATTCCAGTGATCGGTGGGGTGTCGACGAAACAATTGGCGACTGCAGGAACTCGTCGAGATAGTGCTTGAATTCAAAAGCCTGCGTATCCCCCTTCGCAAGCAAAGCTCCATAACTCCAATCAGGATGACTGCGTGCAATAGATACCAAGGTAATATCCCCATCTTGCTCACGTATCGAATCCAAACTCGACCGCATAATATCCTGCACCGTCTTGTTCTCCGCGATATACTCCGATTCCACACTTCCATCTCCATGCACTTCGGGCGAGAAATAATCCTCCAATACTCCAATTCGAACTGGACGACCACTCCCTACCCCTTCACATCCCACCTCCAAACACCCTCCCTCCTCCTCATCATCACCCTTCATAACCTCATACAGAATCCTCACATCCCCAACACTCCTCCCCATCGGCCCAGCAACATCCTGCGTCCGCGAAACAGGCACAATCCCAACACACGACACCCTCCCCGTCGACGGTCTGAACCCGACAATCCCACACGCAGACGCAGGTGATCGCAGCGAGTTCATCGTGTCCGTCCCGCACCCCGCGAGTCCGAAATTCGCCGCTAGCGCCGCGCCTGTCCCGCCGGAGGATCCGCCCGGTGTGCGGGTCCTGTCGTATGGGTTCAGCGTTTGTCCGCCCAGCGATGAGAGGGTTATTCCTTGCAAAGCGAATTCGTGGAGGTTGGCTTTTGCTAGGATTATTGCTCCTGCTGCGCGTAGCTGTGAGACGACTTCGCTGTCGGCTTTTGTCTGGATTGTTTTCAGGGCTTGCACGCCGGCGCTTGTTGGTAGTTCTGATGTGCTGTAGTTGTCTTTTAGGATTATGGGCACGCTGTGTAATGGTGGGTATGGTTTGTTGGTTTGGTTGAATGTGACTGTTTCGGTGGCTTTTGATATGGCGGTTTCTAGGGCTGTGCTGTTTATCGTGATGAGGGATTTGAGGGTCCCGTCGTGTTGCTTGATTGCGGAGAGGTATTTGTTTACCAGCTCCGGGCCGATCGAGGGGTCTATACGGAGTAGGTCATGGAATTTGGTGATTGTCATCTCTTCTGTTTGCCATGCTGGAGAGTCCATGGTGTTTGTTGATGTTGAGTTGAATAGAGGGGGGATTCAATGTTGGTGTTGGGAGTTCCCCGGATGTTGAGCTGGTGATTGACTCAATTCACCCACGCCATATGGAATCAAGTCTTGCTAAATACAGAATTGGAAATGTTAATTGTAACCGAAGTGATCTTCTCACTTCGATATAAAATGCATATATGTATACCCCTCAGTGGACACGACTTCGGACCGGAATAACTCCGATGTATACAAAAAAAAAAAAGAGAAACCGAGACGAATGGCCGAGCCAATGTACAAATCTGAGCGAAAATTAGAAAGTTGAAACGAAGGAAAACACATATATACACACACCATACGGTTAACAAATGGACGCCACAAACAATCAAATGGTATAATCATCCAGACTTAGCCTAAACCCTCCAGGGCTCCCAAAGCCGGATTCCATAAAAACAGGACAAAGCAGAATAACATGTAACCGGCGCCTTTAAGAATGGGATAGAAGGATAGATAAAAGCAGATAAAAGACCGGGTAGTGTCGGGGGAATAGGTCCCTCAAGGATACATGCAGCGATTCCGGTTGGTCAAGGGTCAAGGGTCAAGGGGTTTAATGCCCCTGCCATGTGGTGTCACAAAGACAGCTGAAAGCCTGCATGAGGTACCACCTCTTGCAGGAGTCGACAGGGAGAGAAAGAAGAAATCCCAGGGACCGAAAAGAAATTAAAAAAAAAGGAAAAAGAAGAAAACAAAACATCGTGATCATGATTTTCCGAAGTGCAAACACCATTCCGTCCCATTCGCGAATAGAGAAAAAGATTATCGTCAAGATATGAGCCTTCTATCCGTAGCTGGATCCTGTTCATGCCGGTGAATTCCCTCCTGATGCTGTTGAAAAAAAAAAAAAAAAAGCCGAATATTGGCTGTAGCTGTGCAAATTGGATCATTGGATCTCAGGGCTAAGTGCGTCCTTGGCGATGCAATCCTTGGCCGATCCGGTGAGCCTCCGTGCCGTCATCAACGAGTGTCTCCTTAAACCACGGGTGCTTCAATGCCTCCTTGGCAGTGATCCGGTTCTTAGGATCGTAGACAAAGATCTGTTGCAGTAAATCCAGGAAGGAACGGTTGAATGGTGTGTTGGTAGGGATGAACTCCTATAGTAGGCAAAATCAGTTAAAGAAAAGCCCCACAGATAGATATACGAAACACTTACTGTCAAAGATTTCATCGCGCGCACATATTTCCGCGAGGCCCGGGTCGTTTCAGTGTTGGGATAGTCGATCTTGTTTCGGTTGAAATACCTGGTAAAGTTAGCTTCTGTCACGGCGAAAGGATTAAAGGGGCCATATTTACTTGGAAGCAGAGTTGCTACTACCACCTCGGCCTGCAATGACTTTCTTCACCAAAGCGGTGTCGATTCGATTGCCAATGACGGATTCCATCATCGCCAGGTGTTCAAGGTTGTCATGTGTCTGGAACAGGGCATCTCCGGTGAAGAATTCCACCAGGATACACCCAATACTCCAGATATCACATGGGAAACTCCAGCCCAGATTTAATATGATCTCCGGGGCGCGGTAGTGACGAGTGGAGACGACAGATGAGTGGTATTCGTCATCGAAGGTCGCCGAACCGAAGTCGATGAGTCGGATTTCACCATCGAGGAGAACACGGCGTTGCCGCGCATTGCGAGCTGTGGCGTGGGAAGAGGATGGTATGGTGCGGTTGTAAGTGAAGGTTTGATAGGCGTTGCTGACGAGGAGGATGTTTTCGGGTTTGAGGTCGGTATGGATAAGGTTTAGGTCATGAAGGACTAATAGGTCAGTGGTCTGTGATATAAGGTATGAAGTGATGGAGAACATACAGGCAACACTTGTGAACAGCTGCCGAGCAAACTGTTGGATCTGACTGCTCGGGAATGGCACAAAGCCATTCCCCTTGAGGAAATCAAATACGCTTTGTCCTAGCAAATCGGTGACAATGCAAATGTGATTCCGAAAGTCGAAGCAGTCCCGAAGGTGGATACATTTGTTGCGGTTGCTTTTGTCGTTAGAAGCTAGGGTCGACAGGACTCGCAGCTCAATTCTGGATGCGTCACGATACTTTTGGATCGAGCGTATAATCTTGACTGCACAGCGAGCCTTGCGCTGCTTGTCATAGGCTTCGACAACTTTGCCAAATGTACCTTGCCCTAGAAGTTTGATCACAGAATCTCGAGGGGAGTTAGCATAGTCAACAAGGATATCAGAGATATCTCTGTTACTTACATCGATCTGTCAATGGTGTGTCGGGCGTGACAATATAATGACCATCGTCATCGTCAAACTTCTTGTTCTGGGAACTGGTGTACTGATCGAGGAAATCTTGTCAGTGGATTCGCACGAAATAAAATGGTCAAGACAGAACACTCACATCGCGAACAACTGGCACAGGGACATCCTTTGCCTTGATCGGCGGCTTCGGAGGTGGGACATAACTCAGGAAAGCATCGCCTACGGTCTCCAGCTCTCGTCGCTTCTGTTCGTCGCGGGTGGATTTCCGAGTGGCGCGTTTCCGCTTTTGACCGACAGCGCCATCGTCATAGTATACACCATTGCTCGCCCCCGAACTGCCCTGTGAACCAAGTGAAGTTGGAGCTGTTGTGTGTAAAGATGCGGTTCGATCGGTCGATAAGGACGTGGCGGAGGATTCCTCACCGTAATGTTGGGGATTGATTGAAAAGGACGGGCGGTCATAGTGGCCCAGGTCATAGGCAGTTTCAACCCCCGTCCGTCTCCTCTTTCCAGCGGGCTGAGGAGCCGCAGGAGGTGGTCTGGCAGACATAGTTGCAGGAGGAGCGGGGGCACCATTGGATGGCTCTGGACCGGGACTGTCATCGATTACAATGACTTCCTTAGGAAGGCCATTCTTATAGAACTCGGTCCAGTCTGGTTTCTTTCTCCGACTCCCAACAGAGGGAGCCGCACTGGAGCCACTCTGGTGGGTCACAGCCGACGGAGTTGTTGTCGCGGGGGGCATTCTCGGCGGTTGGGTGTAGGGAAGGGTGGTCGTCGTCGGAGAGGGGACAGAAATGGCGTAGGGGTTCGCGAGGCGAGATCCTGCGGCCGTGGTCGAAGTCGGGTAGGAGGTATTTGGTTGATACGAAGGGTGATGAGGATACCCGTAACCCTGATGATGAGAAGGATGCGTTGCAGTAGCCGTGGACGGGGTGGACATTGTGCACGAAGGTATCCCGTCACACGAACGGTATGAAGGTTATGGAAAGAAGAGACGATTGGTCTAATTTATAAACGATAGTCGATATCGCGCGTCACTCTTCCTGGATGGAGACGGGGATCTCAAGGCAGGACTAGCCAGCCAGAGAGGAACCAAGCCGACAGAGATTGAGGGTTGACAAGCGTGTCCGGAAGGAGATTCTCTGGAGACGTGAAGAGGACGGGCTGAAGCGGTCGGTGAGAGAGGGGATAGACAGTATCAAATTCGTTGCATTTCCTCGGCAAATTGAAGACAAGGAAGTGAAGCAAAGATCATTGGAGAACTTGGCGACATCTGTGGTGAATGAGGTGGGGAGGAAAGGGCCTGGAGGCAAAGATGAGTGATGATGGAAGAGTCGGAGAGATGGGACCCGTTGCCGATCAACTGCATTTTGCATTTTGGCCTTATTGTTTTCTTATTATCTTCGTTATAATTCTAATTGAATTCTAATTCATTTAATTAATCCTATTGATGTTTATATTCTTCGTTTTTTATAGACCTATTCAACTTCCTATCTCATTCAATACGAATGTTCTACGTATGGTATACGTTATTTGCCTAGTCTATACATGCGCAATGGGGAAAACCTCAACCTAGAGGTCCATGCGCCTCTAGGGAGAAAGGATATTATCTCCTCATTCCAACCCATGAATGTAATAAATGGAATTTAAAGGATTTAGAGTCCTAGAGGGGCTTTGAGGGGCCTTGAGGAGCCTTGAGGGGGCCACGGGAAATGGAGCATCGCGTCCAAGCCCTGGCTTAGCCGAATGTCCACAAGGAAGAACCTCGATGGTTAGAAATATTGGGAATATCAAGAATACCGAGATCGAGAAGTATATATATCAAACCTTTACAACCTGGAAACCAGGAAACCAGCAAATCTGAGGAAATCTGAGGAAAACCCAGGAAATCGCCAATATTAGGTCTATCACCTGGGCACCTGACATTCCAACTGAGTCAGCATCTAAATTGGGAAATACACAATAGTCTTGCGTATACAACATAGTTATAATAATAATAATGCTAATAATAATAATGATAATGCTAATAATAATACTTAGGCAGAACTAAAAACCCAAGAGGTGGTCTTTAATGGGCTATTGGTTTAATATAAGAGTAGAGAAGGGGGTTACATAACTAGGGACAATAGGGAAATAGGAACTGGATATATATATCAATTGAACAAATATATATGGTCGAATTGAGTAAGATATATCTAAAAGTGAGGCAATTCAAAAGTAAACCCAAGTAGATGCCAGTGTCTACTAATCACAACCAATATATATTGATACTACGGAGTAAACAACACTCGAATACCTTTGACCGTTGCCTTGGCTCGAAACAATTTGTATTGCCTAAACAGGATATATCTACGCTAGCGTGTGGACAGCAGAGATATTCACATCATCCAGTTACGAGTACGTATGGCCACGAAACTAGAATCATATCCAAGAGCAATGAGAGAAGGATAATGTAACGAGGTACAAGAAAGTGGCTAGTTCCTCTATCCTCCCACAAAAGATGTATGCTCATCCTGTAGTTGAATGGAATTAAAGATCATGGCTTGACAACCGGACACAACCCCCATAAGCCAGCCAACGCCACCATACACAGTGAATGCAAGAACTCCTGATGCCCGGAGCCACAGGGCTCCCATGGGCCAAAGAAAAAACAAAAAAAGAGAAATTAGGGACACAAGAAAATAAGATTACAAACATTTATGACCCGGTCAGTTTCGATCCCGATCCTCTTTGGGATCCTTCAGGTAACCCCTTTGCACATGTCGGGTCGCCCGTCCATCCGTCTCCAGCATGAACAAAACATCTCTGACCTGAATACCCAACCCCTTCTCTTGATCTTCACGCCATATTCCAAGGCGACGTTGTGCCTGAGTGGGTGTCGATTCACCGGAACCAGACTTTTCAGGACCGGCAGTGGGTGTAGAAGGAGTCGGACGCGAGGGAGACGAGAATCCACTGGCCTTGCCGCCAGGCTTCAGCCACGAGTATGACTTCTTGGCACCGAACATACTACGACCGCCCCCGGACAAAGCCATGCGGGCCGTCTCCACGGACTGTGCATGCTGTTGGGCCTCGGTGGCTTTGGAATCCTGCATTTTCTTCGCATCTTTTTTGCTGACTGACTTCTTATCGAGACTAGGTGCCCTTTCGCCAAGGGGCGTCGAGGGCGCAGATCCTGTTGGATCCACAGACTCAGCTCGACCAGCCTCATCGAGAATAGCATTACTGTTGCGTTTGGCACGCTTTGCTGCGCGTCTTTCCTCTTGCGAACTCTCCCGGTGGATGAATGCTCGGTATCTTGCCGCATTGGACTTTGTGCTAGAGGAATCAGCGGTACCATGAGGACCTGCCGAGATAATTAGTATCAAGTAAGTTGAGTGGATATCATGAGCAGAATCGTACGTTTCACAGGGGTTTGAGTGCTCCCCGTAGCCTGCGCAGGGGGCTCGCGACATCTTTCCACTCATTGGGAACTACGCCATGAGAATGTGCTCGGCGACTTCGAGCAAGAGTCGAGGCGTAGTCGATGACGCCCCTGAATCTTTCTTCAGTGGCAATAGATAGAAGATTCAGTATGTCCACGAGAGGAGCACCTTCCTGGTTGAGAATGGTCTGACCAGTGCGCACCACAGAAGAGCCATCTGGACCAGTAACTTCAATTGGCTGTGGTCGGCCAGGTACGGGATGAAAGAGACCCTCTGAGGGGATTCGAACACCCAGGTCAAAGCCTCGCTTCTGAAGCTTCTGTTCAAGGAGTTTTGTGATCAAGAATGGTTCTTGGATGTGATACTGTGATCGCCTTGCTGCAATAGTGTCCTCGCGAGTCGGTTCATTAGGATCTTTGAAGGGAACATGGGCCTGAGAGGACGGGCCGGCAAATGAATCGTGCGTGATCGCCGGTTTGATTTGAGGTAAATCACCGAAGCTGGTCGAAGCTGAGGGAGTTCCTGGGGTAGAGCCTTGAGACGTGAAGGAGGTGTTGATAGGTGGCGGGTATTGAGACTGTGGTCCTCGATGGGAAGGCTGCGCCTGCGCATTCTGCCCTGAAAAGCTCTGTGTGAGAAATGCTTCTTCTTCCCTCACATCAATTCCAGATGACGCTAGGACATCTGTCAGCTCAGCAGCATCTGTTGTTTTGTCCACTGGGCGAGAAGGAGGACCCATGGTTCCGGGAGGAGCGGGGGGCAGACGTCGCAGACATGTTCATATTCATGCTCATATTCATCGGTGCTCCGTTCATTGGAGAGGGATTTTGTGGTAGCTGCACCGCGTTGAAGCTTGGAGAACCGTAAGGAGACTGGGTTTGAGAAGGCGGCAGAGGGGAGAGGCGAGGTCGTTTGGATGGAGGGGGTGCAACGCCTCCATTCACGGGGGATGCTACCGAGTTTGGGGATGGCGACGAGACAGGTGGGGAGAAAGGTTGAGAGGAAAACTGCGGCGGCGGCGGGGGTGCCTGCTGCTGAGGATGGCGAGCTTGTGCCATTGTGAATACCGATTGAGACCAAAATTGAATGTCAAATGAGATAATAGGCTATTGCGCCGAGCCGTCGTAGCCTTGCAAGTGAATGGAGGTCCACGCGCGGTCGATAAATTGAGCGGATTGCTCGCACCACCAGCTTCCACCACCTTTGACCATCTCAATATTGAATTTAAACCATATACGCGACACTTGAATCGTAATGTAGTTGACTCGAGCGCAAAAAAACTAACAGTAATCGGGGAGACAGTGATGCGTGATAGTGGTAAGGAGCTTTCTAGGTGGTCGAACTCTGCTCCGCGGATCGCGACACACGTGACTAATCTTGACTAAGCTCTCCAAACCTGCGGGTGTCTTGCTGTGAAAGAGATCACTTCTTCTATTGAATCACATTCAGTTCGTCACAAGTGCATTGGCGGCCTGCTTTTATACCTGGACCAGCCGCACATATTATAGCCTCTGTTGCGCAAGTCATGGGTGTTGCGCTGAGATCATATTGAAGATCTCAGGCTTTATCGTGCGACGCGCGGGTGCTAGTGCCATTCAACTAGGCTTCTCAAACTCATACTAAGAAATCTGTCGATCTCCTAACCTCTTACCCAATTAATTCTCGACATCATGACATCCAAACGCAAAGCTTCAGCAATGGGAACGGCTGTTGACGATGAGCCCGTTGACCCATCAGATGAACTGGCATTCTACTGTCTCGGCGGCGGCAATGAAGTTGGACGGAGTTGCCACATCCTGGAATATAAGGGCAAGACAGTGATGGTAAGCCTCATGCTGGAACAATGAATGAACTCGCGAATACTGACCTCCTTGGCTTCTGTAGCTCGATGCGGGCATGCACCCGGCAAAAGAAGGCTTCTCCGCACTACCTTTCTTTGATGAGTTCGATCTGAGCACTGTGGATGTTCTTTTAATCAGCCAGTACGTGCATCTCTCTTTTGTTTACATTATATACGGAATCATGGCAAGCACGATAGGCGATCATTCTGCACTTGTCCATATGAGGCACCTGGGTTATTTGGTAGTCTACTGCCCTCAGCTGCCTTGATGGAAGAACACATTCCCCTGCATATATATGAGAAAGCCCAATACAATTCAATGTCATGCATATATTTCTTGTATCTCTGTACCTTCTTGAGTCTTGAACTCGAGTGCTTTCTCCTTCGGCGTGTTTGTTCATGGCTATCGCATTTGACTAACAGTATGGTCTGTATAGTTTCCACGTCGATCATTCTTCTGCCCTCCCATATGTTCTCAGCAAGACAAACTTCAAAGGAAGAGTCTTCATGACTCCGGCAACGCGAGCAATCTACAAATGGCTCATTCAGGACAATGTTCGAGTCAGCAACACATCCTCTTCCTCCGATCAACGCACCACATTATACACCGAGCGTGATCACTTGTCGACCCTTCCCATGATTGAAACCATCGATTTTTACACAACACATACGATCAATGGCATCCGTATCACCCCGTATCCCGCCGGGCATGTTCTCGGAGCTGCCATGTTCAAAATTGATATTGCAGGACTTGTGATTTTGTTTACAGGAGGTGAGCTTGCCTTGTTACACCTCTTCTCACCTATATTGAAGAATTATTAATCAAATTGCTAATCAATTGACTAGACTACTCTCGCGAGGAAGATAGACACTTGATTCCCGCCGCGGTGCCTAGTGGCACCAAGATCGATGTTCTCATCACAGAATCTACATTCGGTATTTCATCCAATCCGCCTCGATTAGAACGCGAGGCCGCCTTGATGAAGTCAATCACCAGCGTTCTCAACCGCGGAGGTCGAGTATTGATGCCTGTATTTGCTCTCGGACGTGCCCAAGAGCTACTCCTTATCCTTGATGAATATTGGGAAACTCACCCAGAGCTCCAGAAATTCCCTATCTACTACATTGGAAACATGGCACGGCGATGCATGGTCGTGTACCAAACATATATTGGTGCCATGAACGATAATATAAAGCGACTCTTCCGGCAGCGCATGGCCGAGGCCGAGGCCAGCGGCAATAAGAGCGTGAGTGTCGGACCATGGGATTTCCGATTCGTCCGAAGTCTCCGCAGCTTGGAGCGTTTCGACGATGTTGGAGGATGTGTCATGCTTGCCTCCCCCGGTATGTTGCAGACAGGAACAAGTCGTGAGCTGCTGGAAAGATGGGCACCAAGCGATCGCAACGGTGTTGTTATGACCGGTTACAGCGTTGAAGGAACCATGGCTAAGGGATTGCTCAATGAACCTGATCAGATCCCGGCCGTCATGTCCAAGGTTTCCACTGGACATGGTCGTGGTCGTGTTCCCGGAGTGAATGATGAGGATCAAAAAGTCATGATCCCCCGCCGTTGCACTGTTGACGAGGTCAGCTTTGCTGCCCACGTTGATGGCGTTGAAAATCGCACTTTCATCGAGGAGGTAGCAGCACCGGTTGTGGTAAGTGTGACATCCACCGGTCTATTTGCAAATTTACTGACTCTCCCAAGATCCTCGTTCACGGCGAAAAACATCAGATGATGAGGCTGAAGTCGAAACTGCTCAGCCTTAACGCAGATAAGGCGGTCAAAGTCAAAGTGTACACCCCGGCAAACTGCGACGAAGTTCGCATTCCCTTCAAAAAGGACAAGATTGCTAAGGTCGTCGGCAAGCTCGCAGAACATGCGCCTCCATCCGAGAATGATGATGCTCAGCTCATGGCTGGAGTCCTAGTTCAAAATGGGTTCAACTTGTCGTTGATGGCCCCTGATGACTTACAGGAGTATGCGGGCTTGACGACTACGACTATTACTTGCAAGCAGCATATCACCCTCAGCTCCGCGAGTATGGACCTGATCCGATGGGCCCTCGAGGGAACTTTCGGGGCCATTGAAGAGGTTGGAGACAGCAATAAGACTGAGCCCAATGGCAAGAAAGAGATGGGTACTGACGACACCCCGAACCAAGAGGATGCCGAGGAGGAGATTCCATCGGACGAGACACAGACATTCCTTGTCATGGGATGTGTGTATCTTCGCCACCACTCACGCACCCGCGAAGTTGAGTTGGAATGGGAAGGTAACATGATGAACGACGGAGTGGCAGATGCAGTTATGGCTGTTCTGCTCACAGTCGAAAGCAGCCCGGCCTCTGTAAAGCGTACGAAAATTCCTGTCCCTTTTCGCCTCTTACTTATGCTAACTACTACCGTTCTAGAATCGGCCAAAAACAAGCACCACCACCATCACCATGGCGATGACGATGGCGATGACGACATGGAAATTCCCTCACTCCCAAACCCGCATTCCCAATCTGGACCCCAAGAGCGACTTGCTCGTATGCTGATGATGCTCGAGGCCCAATTCGGCGGTGACAACATCGGCCCCATTGAGCGCCCGCGAGTCCCGGCCGATCTCGCACTCGGTCCACAAGAAGATGGCGAAGAGATGAACGAAGAACGAATTGCCGATATCGAGGCTGCGGAACTGGATCGTCTTATCACAATGGGTGTTCCCGTCCCTGGTATTGAAATCAGAGTGGACAAGCATATTGCCCGTGTGTGGCTCGAGGACCTGGAAGTCGAGTGTGCAAACCCTGTTCTACGAGACCGCATTCGCGTAGTCGTCGAGCGGGCCATTGAGACCGTCGCTGGACTGTGGGCGGAGAGCTCCATTCGTCAGGATGTGGCGTTTAGTGGCTCTGCCAACGGGCCAAAGGAGATTGAACTGGCTGATAGGCAGAAAGCGGTTGCCATTTGAGGTTCATGCTTGATCTCTCTCATGTACTTTTAAAATAATGAAATATCCCAGCATTCACATGGTTTGCCTTGACTTTTCTACATCTGCTTCGTCATTTAATGTTTCTTCCGGTGGTTATTTTTGTAAACAGAATGATTTTGATTAACTAGTTGATTGCACGTTCCAAGACTATGAAAGTGGACTTTTGAAATAGATGTAAAGTGCGCGCTCTATGGCGAGGGAAGAACCTCCTTCATAACTTTGTCCAGGGTGTTGACAATAATATCAATCTCCTCTTTCGACACGATGTAGGGTGGTGCGAGGATAAGATGATCTCCTTTAATTCCATCCACGGTACCAGAGCAGCCATACAGCGAGACACTATGCTCCGGCTCTAGACCCTTCTCCTGGAGCTGGTATGATACACGATCCTTGGGGTCAAATGGCTCTTTCGTGGCCTTGTCTTTGACAAATTCAAGCTGGAAAGAGTTAGAAACGAGTTCTTTTGGTCGTGCAACATCGACGACGGGAACGTGCAACTTACACCCCAGAACAACCCTTTTCCACGAATATCTCCCACGTAAGGATGACTCTCGAATCGTTGTTTCAACTGTGCTTCAAGGTAAGCACCCATGGTCCGGACATTTTCCACCAGGGACTGTTCTTGAATAGTCTTTTGCACAGCAAATGCAGCAGCACATGAGATCGGATGACCTTGGTAGGTCTGTCCGTGGCGGAACTGCCCGGTGCCTTTGTCCATAGCTTGCACAATAGAGTCATTAATCAGGACGGCTGACACAGGCGCATAGCCACCACCCAGACCCTTTGCAATCGTCTGGATATCGGGAACAATACCCTCCTGTTCCCAGACATGCACGGTCCCGCAACGGCCCATGCCGCTCATAATCTCGTCAAGGATCAACAGTGCACCGTACTTCTCGCAAACGGCTTTCATAGCACGGAAGTACCCTGGTACTGCGGGGACACAGCCGAGAGCCTAATGAGTATGAGTGAGTGAGTTGTGTGACCTGTAGTGTAGAAGATAGGAAGTCATACCGCGCCAACAACCGGCTCTGCAACGAATGCGCACACAGTGTCGGGTCCGACACGTTGGAATTCAGCGTCTAGCTCGGCTGCCAGACGTGCTACATAGTCCTCATCAGACTCGCCATCCAGCTTCCCCCGGTATGCATAGCATGGGGAAACATGTGATACATTCTTGGAGAGAAGTGGTTCAAATGGCTCCCGACGCTGAACATGGCCACCAACTGAAAGGGCCCCGAGCGTGGTGCCGTGGTAGGATGGGAGACGTGCAATGAACCTGGTCCGCTCAGTTTGGGGAGTGGGAAGCTCTAGGAAATATTGGCGTGCTAGCTTAAGTGCAGCCTCAACAGCCTCAGACCCTGGATAGCATTAACACTGTATGCGTGAACTGAATTTTCGGTTCTTGGAAGGACTGCCTTGACTCACCCGAGCTGGTTATAAAGACCTTGGATAGCTTTCCTCCAGTAGAGTCCACTAGTAGTTTGGCAAGATCCTCTGCTACCTGAGTACCGAAGAAGGCAGAATGACAGTAGGATATCTGGTCCATCTGATCCTTGATGATCTGGGTGACCTGCTCGTTACCGTGTCCTAGACAAGATACGGCTGCCCCACCTGTGGAGTCAAGGAATTTGGTCCCATCTTCCAGAAAGATATAGCACCCCTTGCCACCAATGGCTTTCTTTGGGACAAAGCGTGTGTCTCGGTGGAGAATAGCACTTGTCTTGGTTTCTGGGAAGTATATCAGGATGAGGAATATGCCAAGATATTGCACGCATTTGACATACCGTTGGTCATGATTGAAGTTTAGAAAAATTGAATTGAAAGACAGAATGCTTGAAGAAACAAAAAGGGTTATGTATAGCCGTGGACATCTTCTTCGACGTTTCACCCGAGGCAATGGGCCTGCGGGGCTAAGTGGGTTCGGCATGCCGAAGGGAAGAAGCCGAGCCCTTAATTGGTCCGGGGGCGGAGGGAGCGGACTTTTGCCCGATTTAATTTCCTACTTGGTCTATCTGGTCTATCTGATCTGATCTATCTGATCTATCTGGACTATCTGGACTATCTTGTTGAAGTATAAATGTTTAGATTGGTGTCTGGTAATGACTCATAGCCTGGGAATGCATCCGGGAAAGATATCATTATATATAGCTGCGTGAGTACACTTGGCTATAAATAACACATTACATAGAGCATGAAGTTCCTATTTTCCAAACAGATTGAAGCAATGGAGTTCAATACTAGATTCAATATTACCATCCCAAATTATAAACATAGCGTACTATAACTAGTTTGTTAACAATAATTGACCTGCACTTAGTACGTTGAACATCCCCACGTCCCACCGCCCGCACACTCTGCATTCTGCCCCTCTGACTTGGCCACAATTCCCGCGGCCTTCCCCAGACAACTCCCCCATTCCACAAATTCAACCTTCCACAATGTCGCATCACGCCCAAATCGAGGAAGTCTCCGACTCCGACCCAGAAGAGATTGCCCCCTCTTACGACTCCGACGAGGATCTCCCCAGAAATGCCATCATCTCACCCGTAAATATCCCAACTAGGGCTGAACCTCAACCCCAACCACAACAACAACAGATGCCCATGCCATCGATGCCGGTGCCTGAGCCTCAGCGCGAGATTCCCCGACACTTCTCATGCTTGTATCCCGTGTACTTCGACAAGACCCGATCGCGCGCCGAAGGCCGCAAAGTGGGCGCGGAGCTCGCAGTGGAGAACCCTCTTGCCCGAGATATCGTCGATGCCGTCCAGATGCTTGGCTTGAATGCGGGGTTGGAGCCTGAGAAGCTGCATCCCAAGGATTGGGCGAATCCCGGTCGTGTGCGTGTGCAGGTTAAGAACGAGGATGGTCAATTGGCCAATCCGAAGATCAAGAACAGTACGTGGCTGATACCTTTGATGGAGTGAATGGTTTGTATTTTTTTTCTGTTGGACTAGAACTGACATTGTCGTTTAGAGCACCATCTTTATATTCTCGTCGCACAGTTCTTGAAGGCTAACCCTACTACCGAAAAATCACCCTACCGGCTACGAATCCGTGGTCTGCCAATGCCCGAGAAGCTTCCCGCAGCTCCCGCTGCCCCGCGGGGTTGGAAGATCGGGACGGTGCTACCCATCCATTCGCCTGCCTACAGTGGTGGTGGTGTCAGTGACAACCCTCTCAAGGACGCAATGGCCGAGATGCAGGGTATGCAGGGTATGGAAGGAATGCCTAACATGTCGGAAATGATGAGTCAAATGGGTGGAATGGGCGGATTGAGCAATATGTTGGGTGGACTAGGTGGAATGGGCGGAATGGGTGGAATGGGTGGTGAGCCGTCAGGGGCAGGTGAAAAGAAAAAGAAGGAAAAGAAGAAGGTGATCAGGGCATGATATCTTGTCTTTTGTCCTTTATTCCGTGTTCCACTTGCATTGTATGGCGATGGGCGTTGCTTTTTTCTCCCTAATGTTTTGATGCACTCGAGAAAGGATACTTCCTTGATACCACCGACCTGCATCTGAATCGATCTCATTGTACATCCTCAAATCGTGCCCAACATCTACCTGGTAGTTCTGCTATGCCCGAATAAGGAGATGGCCGGGTCACCAGGTCATCAACTCTTGGTAATCGCTGAACATTTACTAGTGGCAGAGAGAAAGAAGTATATAAATATGTAAGTAATATCAACATCGAAAGAAAAAACAAAAAAGAGGAGGGCCCCCAAACCCACAAACCTCCTTCGTCAGGACCGCAACCCCCTTCGAACTTGGTCCCACCCAATTACCTAGGGGTATGACGGGTTCTTCCATCTACCAATGCTCTACCTTTAAGAGTGTACATAACGTCCTTATAAACTGGTCCCGGGGCCATGAAGCCCAGAAACCAGCAAAGGTATATACCTCAGCATCACACAGTAGACTTCCGAGCGCCATTCCACTACGCTGGCCAGGGTGATTTTGGAGGTAACAACATATCTTTAAAGTGACCTATATTGGACCATTTCCTAATTAGGAAATACCAACTTAACCAGAGTTCGATTCCCCCTACCCAGGATGAATTTTATATTTATACTACTTTACTATCCAATGCCACTCATCTCTTCTCTATTCATTCCATCTCTTCTCTATTCAGTTATATGCCTCTCAAGTCTCCCGCTCAATGGGCATCTACCCAAAAGGTAAAATGACCTGATTTAGATAGGTTGCCTTATAACTGATCACCGGCCAACCTGTCTCACTAGTCGAACAAATTGGTATGGATTAGATACTGGGACCAATTACTGGGCACCCAAGTCTCGAAGTACATCCGATTGGGACTCAACCTACAGCCTGTTAGAGGGACTTCACATGTAATTACTGTGGTAACTAGTTCTGATTGGAGTTTGTGGGTTTAGAGAACAATGAAACACATATCATATGCCCTGCAAGGGATTGATTTATACTAAGAATAGACATGTTCGTGGGTATCACTAGTTAGTTATTATGCCCCACCTCAGCCTCTTTCGGAGATCCTCCATTTCTATACTGCCAGAGCCGGCTCAAGTCCTTGACACGCAGTATTCGATCCACGCCATTCGTTTGTGACCGTTGCAGGCTCAATGCGGCGGGGAGAAACGCCTCGTCTCGGGCTATCGTGGGTTGATACCTGACTCGATGTGGAGGGCCATCATATCCATTTATACCGGCAGTTGCCCATGGTTCAACTTCCATGTCCATGAATGGATTGGAGTCAAGGACTTTCATATCAGGGCCTAGGGTAAACATGTTGCTCAGGTAATGCATGTTAAATAGGTGGCCTGAATTCGGGCGCACGAACAGCCGGCCCATGTATCGATTTGGGATGTCCACGAAGTGGAGCACTCCCAGAGCCACAATATCAGCCGCGTTGGCGTAATGCTCGATATGGCCGATGGATTGGCCAAATTGATGCATTAGATCAGGGGTGGGGATCCGTTGTGGTTTTGGTAGGTTTGTCCATCGCGGGTTGTTGAAGTGATTCGCAGCATTTCCGAAGGTATATACCTCCAAATGACGAAGTAGATCGTGTGGTAGCTCATCCAGAAGCCAGTCCAGGACAAGCCCCCTTCGATACCGCCTTGGCTGTGAAGAAGTAGAACCACTTTTTCACATTCTGGGTCCAAGAGAGCCTCCTTGACCAAGGCATATGATCGTCGTATATCGTCAGTGGCGTAAGCGAAATCCCTTTGAATCAGACATTCGATGAGATCAAAGACAATGCCTGCGCTAATTATCATCAGAGCTTGCGAACCTGAGATCCAAGACGCAACTTACGTGCGATTATGCACACCCGTCACTTTTCGACCAAAGATGTACGACAGTTGATCTATGTTCATCTGTACCCAGTGATGCCTAGAAGTAATTTGAGTCAGCAATGAAAACAAGCAACTAAGTGGGGAAGAATCTCCCTTACCCAGCTGCTATTCCATTTATGTATAGCCAACGCTCCCGCTCATGGCCTGGTTGCTCAACCACGGGCACTTGGGATACCAGAATCTGCTCGAAGCCGTTCAACATCAACATGACAATGGCATAATTGATAGTAAAAGCAATAGTTGAATAAGCAAGGATCCATAGGCCTGGAAGCATACAGATAACCATGATCGGCAACGAGAGCAGGAAAACAAGTTGATAAACCACGAGAAAGATATGAATCAACACTGTAGCTCCATTGCGTAACGATGGATGAAGCTCGTCCAACTCACGGGTGTGAGCTAGATCCAGGGGCAGTAAGATACCTGGAAGCGCCCATAGTTTGGAAACAAATAGGCATAAGTCGCTCCAGAGTAACTTGATGGGTGAAGCAGTGTAGGGCAACGGAGTACCCTCCTTACCAGGACAAATCATTGTGAAACGTCTAGTCAAGGGGGAGGGGAAGTGTAACGTTGGAGAGATGAAAAAGGAAAAAGAAAAGAAGAAAAAGAAGAAAAAGAAAAAAGAAACAAAAGAGGAAGCCTGGTCTTGTCATGTGATACCAATGGCGCCTGCTGTCTGAGATCGTTGGGCTTGTGACTTACATCCTGATCTTACAAGGATGAACCTTTGTTATTCACATTCACATTCATTCATTGATTCCTTTTCATTGTGGAATGAAACATATTCCTTGTCATCAAGGGAAGTCAACTGGGGTAACTAGTCTTGCAGTGACAAGTTTGCAAGCATCGACAGGCTTGCAAGTATCATGAGGGATGTTCTGCTAAAAGTCCAAGCAAGATTTGATATAGATCGAGACAATGGTAGAACAAGAACGGAGAATCTCAACGAACCAATTGACGCTTCTTTCGACGCTTGCGATTGATGCCACGGAAAAGATATCTTCGGTTGATCTTCATACCGGCATGGCGCATTTCACTCTGATGCCATTGTGCAACGACCTTGGCAGTGGCGGCAATCGAAACATCGGTAGGGTTCCAGTATGTTGGGACCCGTAGGGATAGACACCATTTGACATCGTGATGAACTGGTTCGGATGAAATGATACCGTTGCGGGAATTGATGCGAGCCACAACAAGATCCATCAATTCTTCGTCGTTGTATTTGTGGTCAGCCCAGTTGAAGAAGACCGTCACCCATTGGTTTGGTTTGGTCAAATTGTATTCCTCGGGGATGTTTCGTCCGTTTGGATAATTGAACATCCCTCGAAGCTTGGTGCACTTCCTTGCTTTCTTTGAGACTCGAGAGGAGTCCACGGTCGAGACTTGGTTTCCCATGGTGGAATGTCTGGGATAGATAGTTAGAGATTGGGATGAGAGAAAACGAAGAAAGAGATGAGAGATGAGTTAGGGCAAGCTTAATATATTGAATGAGACGAAAAGAACAAAGACCATTGATTGATACGTTCATTAATAGCACAATTCATTGTGTTCGCTGTAGATGGATCAATAGGATCGTTCCCTTTGACGGTCACGGAAATAGACACCAATAGGAGTCCTCATCACAATAGGACATTCTCTTTGAGAACTGAAAAGACATTGTTTAGTAGTCGTCACATTATGAAAGCACACCGAGAACACCCCACTGCATTCGGAGTATATAAATATTCTTGTTAAGACGGAATTCTTCTCTCCAACGGAATATCAAGACCAACCCCAGATGCAGTAAAGCGGCTGTGCTCAAAATTTGTCCCTCGAGTGAACGAAGACAATATAGTGACTATTATCCCATTCCCAACAAGTATAACTTGAAACTGACCTCCGAACCCCATATTGCTTTCTTTTAGGATAAGCATATATCATCCAAAGTCTACCACGAGGCTACCTCCACCCAATCCTCCAATCCTCCCTCAAACCCGCGATAACCAAAAAAGAATGGGAAAAGATGGAGGGTGGTTCGAAAATAGACGAGACACAATCGGTAGACGTAGATCCCTTTTCTCAGGACAAAGAGACACCCGGTTTGTCACGGACCTGAGAAGGGACGAACTCAAAAAGCTAACAGCGATCCTGCACATAGATATCACAATGGCGAGACATGCTGATGAGGTCGTCAAGCGTATGATCCACGAGTTGCCAAAGAATATGCGTCGTGATCGCTGGTCAAGAACGAACAAGGATTTGTGTGATGCCCATCAGGGTCTGGATGCATATCTCATGGACGATGTGTTCACTCTTATCCAGAGAGAGGTCGGTCACCACCTTCGCAAGTTCGACGCGTACCCGGACTTGCTCAAGCCTCTCGATATATTGATCCTGCAGAAACTACAGGCTATACAGGGCATGTGGGTGAAACCTGACCCGAAAGACCCGGTTGGCTCAGAAGCTTGGCACTATGAGACCAGCAACTGTCAAGCATGTATGGTGGCTCGGGTTGCGAGTGACAAGCATGCATTGCGCAATCTTCGAATAGTCCTGCTTTCTCGTACCCAGACTCGTTTGAACCATGTTCCACGGAGACTTATGAAGTTCGTCGACACCTGTATTGATCTATTCCCTGATGATGTGGATGAGTTGTATGGCACATCTAGCCAGTTCGCATTCATCCTGAAGGATACCCGCAAGGCCTGCAGCAAGGCTTGGCTGAAAGACCCAGCACGTGCGGATCAGAGACCCCCACAACGAAGGTACACCGATCATGACAAGATTGGAAAAACGGACAAGGGTGACAAAACCGAAAAGGGTGACAAGAGTGCACGTAGCCAAAAACCGGCTAGTGAGTATAACCCGAGGAAGAAGTATCCCCAGCCACCACCTTCAATCCCATTATCCCACCCCGCAGAAAGGTATGTCCCCAAACCCTCCTCGTTAACCGAATGTACTGACACTGACATTGAAGGGCGCAGAGTATATCATCCGACATCGAGCCCCTCCCGGAGGGCTTCGAGATCATCGTACCACGTAAAGCGAGACCGAAGCTCGGACCCAACCCCGGATCGCATCACTAGATTCATGGATTTCGCCGATGACAACCATCAAGGCTTAGGAATAAGCATGGAAAGGCCGAGTGCAAGCACCGTCTATGGACCAGAAAATCCCCCGTCATCTGACGATGCAAGCACTTTCTCGGGAACTATGGAGGAAATCAACGAATTGCTTGAGATGTACAAGGGCAAGGAGACAGACCCTGACTCGCGAAGCACGGATTACCGCCCAATGCAGGGGAGTAGCAGCGTCCCATTACCGTGTCGCTCTCCGTCGATCTGTTCCACCGATAGTGAGAGGAGTGACGAAGATGAAGACTAGGGAAAGCCAGAAAATGCCTCAGCAGTGAGAACCACTTGGAATCTGGTGTGTGAACAGTCGAAGATCATTTGATCTATCCTAGTCACTTTCATTTTTTGTTTTCGCATCTCGTCTGGGCGCCTGGGCGCTTTGTTTTTTTTTTTGTGTTCATATATTGTCATTTCCTTTTTTTGACCTGTCCTTTGGGATTGGCGCTTTCTGAATGTCATTTTGGTTTTTTTTGTTGTACGTCAAAGGTCCTAAGAATAGTTCATGATATTTGCAAACGTATCGAGTAAACGCCGAATACCCAGAAGAAAATATAAATGGCAAATAATAGACATTATTAACAGTAGGTCATAGAACGAACCATGTACAAAGCATTTGACTGGCGCATTCTGAAGTATTAATACATTGGGCCATTGATCCCATATACAAGAAATGACGGAAAGCCCCACGGTCTGGCGGAGACGGCCAGCAGCTCCAGGGACGGGGTTGGGGGATGCATAAAAAAAATCAAAACATGCTCGGGCTTCACTTCATCACGGTTTTAGTTGTGGAGAACACTTCCAGGGACCCCATGACTCGGGCCCTTGAGACTATCAACAGTCTTTCGGCGTAGCCGAGTGCGGGTCGCAGGTCCCTCGGGTGATACCACTACCCGCTCAGGTTCACGTCCCTGGGCCACAGTCGCAGCCGGAATTGTATTACGCGCCTGGGCAGCATCCAGATCTACCTGCTTCTGGGCATTCTCGCGGGCTCGCTCGTAGCGGAGCTTGATCTCACCGGTCCATTGAGTGCCAAGAAGACGGTCCCAGAAGATAAAGAAAGGTTGGGAGAAGTTGGTCTTGATACCCCAGCTTTGGTGATGAATGTCGTGGTAGGCGGCGTTGTTGGAGGTAAAATGCTGGAGTGGATCCCAGGGGAAGGCATAGCCACAATGATCGTCGACAGTTTTGATAGTCGACATTGTAAAGAACCACATGGCTTGGCGGGTACTCATGCCAGAGACCAAGAATCCAATACCAGTGCCAGCCGTATCCAGGAGGAATCCCTCAACTGGGTGATTGTAGAGGGCACCGAAAGCATATGGAACGTAAAGACGGTGGTGGCGGGAGTGGAAAGTCACTAATAATTGGTTAGCATGGAACCATCAATCTACTTCGAAACGTCAGATATACCATAGAGCCACCGGTTCAGATGCATAGCGCGGTGGAGGAAGTACTGCCAAGTATCCACAATGGAAATCGCCAGGATGAACTGGAGGGTCGGTACAAAGTACCAATATATGAAACCGGCAAGTGCAAGTTCCCAGCTCGCGAACGCGGGCGCTACCGCCTTGACTCCATTATCGAGGATTATGGACTGGGTCACATCGGGGTACGATCCACCAGCCAGAGCTCCGGCCAACATGGTATAACCGTTTTGGGATACAGACTTTCCAAGTCTGATAGCGTCAACTCCAACAAGAGCTAATAGTGATGGAACAGTCTTCTGGGCGATCCGCAATCGCTGCGCCCACACGGCCACATCATATTCCTCTCTCCCCACAGTTTCCTCGGCATCAAAGTATACGAAGGCAAAACCGGCTATGGTTTGAATCGCTTGTTGTAAGACAACATCCCGTACAACTTCCCAGCGGGTCACTTTGTTTCGTTTCAGGACTTCTGCGGGGGTGTGGAGCCGGTATTCGACGAAGTAATCATTGACATCGAGGAAATGATAGATCATGGACAGGCCCCAATAAGCGACGACGGGCAATATGAGCGAAAGGATATTGTCAGGAAGAGGAGCAAGTAAATGATCTCGCGCGGTCAAGGTGTAGGTTGGTAGGGGAGGAAGGTCGAACGCGACGGATGCGTTCACAGCCATGACGGGAGAATAGCGATGCGTTGAGTCAGTAGCACAAAGGATCCAAGAATGACAATTGAAGGGCTCTCAGAATCAATATTTTGGATATTGAAATGGGCCCAAGATCAGAAATTAGGTAAAGAAAAGAGAGTGGATGTTTCGCAACTGCCTACCACGCCGAAGTCCGGATGATGACGGGTAGGCGCGACACAGAATGATTCCGATCAGTCAGAGACCTCTCGGCACAGGCCGGTACATACAAAAGGGAGTTAGGTTAAAAAAAAGAAAAGGAGAATCAGATAATGATGAAGGAAAGAATAAGAACGTAGGAATGCTGAAAGATAAAAGATAAACGTTCAGATCAGGAGATGCCCGGATTCGGGTGGCGCGAGCCCGACGCCAAGACAGAAGATAATACATGTATTTACGGTACCTTTGGATATGATAGGTGAGGGGAAGTGAGTGATACAGTATGGTATGGTATGACATTGATCTCTGCTGACTAAGTTATATACTTCGACCTGAAAGGAAGTGAATTGGTTGGAATAGTGAAGATGAACATCAATTGATCTTAATTAATTATTTGATTCTGCTTCTACTGTCATAATTGAGCATATCCCAACCCAGTTGACCTTTATATATATCCATTTTTATCCTCCCAAAATGACATTGTACCTCTTGAAGTATCTTCAAGTACCAAATACTGCGCTAACGCAGAGCCAGTGGCGGTGGCCCAGATTCCCCGATACCCGTCAGGTACAAACTGAACAAACACAAGTCCCCCCGCTCTATTTTTTTTTTTTTTTTTAAAGAAAAACCTCGTCCCCCCCACCATTGAAAGTGTTTTTCTTCCCTTCCCGTGCCATCTTACTTTCTTACACCCTTCGTCTTCTTAACATATAATTCCGCCAAAATGCTTATCTACACTGTATGTTTGTCACTATCAGATCTTTGGATTTACCCCTCTTCATTCGCAGAATCTCAACTGACAAAACCCACTAGGACATCGTTTCCGGTGACGAGATCGTCGCCGATACCTTCAACCTTGTCCCCAACAAGGATTTCGATATCCTTTGGGAGTGTGACTGCCGCAAGTACCTGAAGCGTGCCAACGAGGACTTCCAGCTCGAGGGTGCCAACCCCTCCGCTGAGGACGGTGAGGATGATGGTGGCGAGGGTGAGGCCACCATGGTCCACGATATCGAGGACCAGTTCCGTCTGGTCTGGCTCAAGGTCGAGGATGGTGCCAAGCCCTCCAAGGAGAGCTACAAGACTCACATCAAGTGTACGTTCGCCCTTTGATCTCTGCTGGGTCTGCGCAAATCACTGACTCTTGTTCTTTAATACAGCTTACCTTAAGAAGCTCCACAAGAACGCCGCTGCTGGCTTCGCCAAGGCCGATGATCCTGAGGCCGCTGAGAAGGCCTGGAAGACCAAGGCCGCCGGCGCTATGAAGAAGATCATTGCCAACTGGGACAACTACGATGTCCTCATGGGCCAGTCCATGGACGGTGATGCTATGTATGTCTCATCCATATTATGACTTTCCACTCGAAATTTGAAACTGACTGTTCCTAGGCACGTCCTGATTGACTTCCGCGAGGATGGTACTACCCCCTACGCTACCGTCTGGGCTGACGGTCTCAAGGAGATGAAGGTCTAAGCAACTCTTGTCATCCTAAGAAGCTGGTAGTAAAAAACATACGCACCCTACACGAACAAATACGTCTCGATGGAAGAATTGCGAGTTACAGCTCAGACGCAGTGGCTACTTATTCCCCTTCCCTGGGCCTGTCTGTTCTAATAACCCCCCTCGCTCTTTCTTTTATCCCGAGCTAGTGATCTATTGGATCCTCAAGACTTACGCTTCATGAAATTATCTGTCATGTCTTATATTTTGGCTTGTACTATGTAGTTTGCCCTCGGTCTTATTGATCTAGTAACAGTCTTGACTTCTGAAAAGGATAATCATTACGAGACTCCGCGTCCCCCTGTCCTTTCCCTAAAAGAATATTTTCATGCCACAAAATTGAGTAAAGTGACACCAATCATTATGCGGAGGTATATATTTGTGGATTCGACGACCACAATGTTATAGCTACACTTGAGTGTACTAAGAATATCCCGGCCAATCAGCTCCATCGTTCCCATTCCATGACGGGAAACCCCCGTCAGGGGAGGAGTCTGGAAGTGGAAGACCATTGACATCTAAGGTCGACATGTCGACGGGATTAATGCCATTAAACGTTGAGGCTGTTCCAGCGTGGGTGAAATCAAGACCCGAAACGGGATCCAATTCCATCAGATCATCTGCGACAGGAAGATGTTGCCCGAACACAGCATCCCACTGGTCCCAGTCGAAGTTGAGGTTGGGGTCAACCATCGACGGGGGTGTAGGACTTCCTATGGGTAAAGCACCAGGATACGCGGGATCCACCGAGGATACTCCACCAGCAGCAGTAATCTCAGGATCTGAATGCTGAACATGTGGGACAGGAGGGGTGGATGTAGAGTATTGTGCCAGTGGAGGTGTATCACACAAGGAGTCCGTATTGGGCGAGGAGGCGTCAATGCGGGGAGGTATAGGATTATCGGCGGGGGAAGGATGCAAGTGGGAATGTGAAGCTTGGGGTAAGGGTTTATCCCGTGGTTGGTATTGGTATCGTAAGGGACTTTTAGTAGCATCCGGGGTAGTAGGATTCGGCAACTTGTGGGAGCGGGTGGGGTTGTATAATGTTTTGACGAAACTGTTGGGTTGGGAATCGTGAGTTGAGACATGGCTGGACGATGCTGAACCTGGAGATCCGTCCTGAGAGGGGTCTGAGCAAGGAGAGTCACAATCCCCGCGAGTGTCAACTAGCGAAGCAACCCCAGCCTGGATCTGGTCTTGTTCGGTCCAGAGGATTCGTGGATTGAGGCCAGCCTTTTGCCAGGCTTTCTGGCGAAGGCGGCGAATCATATCCCAGGCTTCACGGCCACCGTCCTTCAGCGGCCGTTGCGTTGAGACCCCGTCTTCACCCCCTACGACCCCTCCATCTGGGCCAGAAAGTGCGAGTATGCTGTCGATGAACGCGCGGGACCTGGATGCTTCAGGGCTGTAAGGTCGCTCATATAGGTCAATCAGCATGATCCTGTATCTCATTAGCGTTAGTTATCAACACTTGACGATGGAGTCGTACATAGTGGCATGCATGGGTTGATGATTGCTAAAAAGAAATATCAGCTGCCTATGATTCTTGGTCACTGTAATATCGAAAAGGCTTACCCAGGCCAGCTCCAATGGAAGGGCTGGAAATCAGGATCCGTTGCGAGTTGGATAAATTTTTCCATGAAACCATGGCAATGGCGAAGTGCACTATCGATATTAGTTAGCACATAGACTCATTTCCCGATGGGTCTTGCAAACCTCTGCCGTGCCGCTGGCCAAATCCGGCTGCGAGCGTTCTTTAGAAAAGGCTGGTAGGCCACGCAGAAGGCCTATAGGAAGGTCAGCTGGGTATGAAAGTAAAGGTTGAGAAAAAGCGCACCTTGTCAATATACAAAGAAAGAATGATCTTTGCCCATTTATGAAAGCAAACAAGAACCGGTGAGTGATACTGTTCTGGGCATCCGGTGGGACCTTCGCCTGGAAGCTCCGTATCGGAAGAGCGGCCATCGGGAGATTTGGACATAGAAAAAGCTCGGCCCGGCGTTGATAGGTTATCAACATCCTTGCCCTCTGGAATCCTGTTGATAATGGAATTCAGTTTCAGCTGCAAGTCAAGAAGTATGGACCGGAGCTCCTCCATGTCCTGTCTGGTGAGAGGCTTTATTCCAAGCTGGATTTTCAATATTCGGCGAACAGCGCCTGGTAATAATTAGCGGATGAATTTTGAAACGTAAAGGGGTACCCACGAGCCATGGTATATTTCCCTCTTGCGGTTAGGTAGTAGACGTTGACCATTGATGGTCCCCCGCAAATAGTCGGGTTATCTGGATTATCAGGAAGACGCTCCCGTGAAGCAACCTGTTTCATGTAGGACTCTGCGGCAGGGGTGCCTAGCATCGTATCTTTGATTTCATTCGTCTCGCATACATCCCAATAATTTTCGTCGTTGACAAGTGGAGGCAGACCACTTGACATCGCGACGACACCGTCCATGTGCATAATGTGCCACCATAAACGGCGTCGATACTCAGCCTCACATGGCTCTATGCCAAACTTAGCCGGATCCCGATGCAATCCCATGGTTTGCGCAACCCTCATAGCGAGGCTAACAAAGAGACTAGAGGTTAAAGGCTCTTCCTCCTTCGTGATAATTGTCTGCACGAGAAGATAAGCAGCGAGACCTTGAAGTGAAGGGCTTCGCGGGAATTTGATCTTCGTAAGCCATCTGGTAACTTCTTCAGAATAAATTGTTGAAAGGGCCGACCGGGAGGACACATTGAATTCAGCTTTGATTGCTCGGATCGAAATCGTCACTGACCCGCCGTACCATATCGCGTACAACAGTGGAATGAATGATGGATTGGGGCACGACTCTCCTGAATAGCTACTGTAGTCATACCAATCCCAGAAGGAATTGTACAGCTTGAGGATAGTCGGAGGGTGAATGATAGGACTGATGGCGTGTACACCTGAAATGAATCCCTTGTAAAGAATGTGGCTTTGCCGTCTCGTTGGAATGTGATCGAGCATTTCTGGCTCCACCATTTTTTCGTTGGTCGAGGGAGAGTCACCCGAAGGGAAGATTATAGATTGTTGGAAGGAACGAGACCTGGGCGCGATTGAAGGTGTCGAGCTGCCTATTGATTCTCTCCAGGACTGCCGGCCATCTGCATGCGAGTCTGTTATGTTTTCATTATTCTTTTCAGAAGTAGACTGGTCGTGCGAGCTATTTTGGTCTCTCAACAATTGATTGAGCTCATTGATCTAGATGCGAGTTAGTCAAAATGGTCGGTCTACTAGTGAAAGCCTGCTGGGCAGCATACTTCGCCTGAGATATAAGCCCAATACGTGGTGCCAACATATCTAGTTATAGTTAGAAATTTTCACATTTCGAGCAAACCGATTCTGACCAACCTTGACCTTCCACCATCCTCTAGGCTTAAATGGCCCAAGTTTAGGCTGCCAACCGGATCTACTAGATCGGTGGCCTGACCGGATGGGATCGGGAATTCATCGTTGCTCGACTCTGCAGCAATGCGGCGTGGGCTGGTAGATCTTGACGGTGTCTCATTTTCGTTCGGATCATTGCTCGCTCGTGGGCCACCCAACTGTGTAGGTTCCACTTTCGCATCCAAGGTCGTGGCTTGAACCCCAGCGTCCTCGAGTGTTTGACCGCTCTCCCCGAGGCGCTCAATCATTGACATAAGCTTGTCGAGTCGTGATTCAATGGCGCCTGGGTCAGGCTTTTCGCCTGTCGACTCGGCCCGCCTCAACTGCCCGTAAAGTGACTGGAGCTCGTCGACACCTTCCTCCAATGTCCGGGGCATCTCCCTTCTTCGTTTAACGCCATGTGAATTTTGAGAAGAGCCATCGCGCGCGTCGTCATCTTTTTGGGATGACACATCATATATACACTCGGTGTTGTTCTTCACGCAGTTTCCACATATCGGATGTATCTAAAGGGGGATATATAGGTTAGCTTGTAATAGGGCCTTCGGTGCTGGTGGCAATCTGTTCAATATACCTTGTCACATTTGACTTTCCGACGCCGACACGTGTGACAGCTGTAGCTTGCGCGGTTTCGGGTGATCTGGCGACCTGCAAGTAAAGGTCCCCTCGATGATGACGGAGCAAACGAGTTGCCAGGGATGTAAGGACCCGGTACGGGCTGAGCATTGGGCGAGCTCTGGTTCATAGTCCCTGGCAAGACATGGAAATAGATCAAATTACTGTTAGCATGGAAACAGTAGACGCGAAAAAAAAGAAGCGCCTCGCAGAATGCGGGGGTTCCCTGACGTTATCGGAGATCCAAGGGGACGGCGACCAATGATATCACTCCATCGCAAGGTCATCCTTAATGCCTGAATTATGCCTTAATTTGCGGGCATGAATCCGATTTCCCTCCTTTTCTCTCACTATTGTATTCTTCTACATCTATAAATTGCACTGACTACCACCCTCAGATTTCAATTGGATGCACCGACTGGCCAATCGGCCCCTATTACTTTTCGGTCGCACACTGCAGGTGATCCCTTGTGCACTACACCACTGTCACCTTTGGGACGGAATTAATTCTCCCTACTATAGCATTCATTATAGTTTTGGTTATTCTTCTACAATACCTATTCGGTCCATTGGTTTCGCAGGTGTGCGGATTACTCACGGTCAATTTCCTTTGATGTGACCATTAATGTCTCATAATGGCAATACTAGAGAAGATGCCGAGTTCATCTCTTGATGCATTAAGATCATGCAACTTCCACCTCCCTCGCGTAGACGATACCCTCATCCATAGTCGAGCTTGCACTCGTAACTACAGGAGTGAGCCAATCCATATTGACACCCTCTGATGCAGATGCAGCCATGAGGGGTTCCGCACCACGTTCCTCACTCGTCAACATGAGCTCGGCCCATTCCGTAATCAATCCAATCAAGCGCTCGACCTGCTCGAACGTGTTATCTGCGTGGAAGATAACGCGCGTTCTGCCATGTCCCTTTGGAACGACTGGATAGTCGATAGGCCAGACACAGTAGCCAGCAAAATGGCAATGAGCGGAGAGCAGATGATTCTCAAGGCCGCGGTGATTGATGGGAACAATGTGTGTGAGGGGCTGTCGCTGTTCCCAGTCCTTGGCCAATGGGATAGTCAGAATCCCGGCTGCTTCGGCACGAATGTAGCTTGGGTGGGCAAGAATATTTTTGAAGAAATATCTCACAAGAGATTGGATACACTTTTGCCTCTGTGCACGGGCATATTAGTACAAGGAATTGTTTTGCTTTTCAACAACTTTAGAGAGAGCTATAATTACCGTTAGACCCAGGCTAGATTTGAGCAGTGTGTATCCTTCTTTGACGGCCAAAGCTGGGAATGAGGGGGCCGTCGAAAAGATCAGACAGCGGGCGAAGTTGAGGGGCATGTCTTTGATCGTTTGGTCACATAGAACAACCGCTATCAATTTTAGCCAAAGTTGCCGAAGAGATATCAACAGAATACCCAAGCTCGCTCACCTCCATGAGATCCCAAGGCCTTGCTGAAGGGATGTAATCGGATAGCAAAACTCTCCTCCAGCTTCAACGCGCAGACAAGGCCTCTCCCTTGAGGCCCCATTAAACCAGTACTATGTGCTTCATCAATAAAAAATTGGAAGTTTCCAAGAGGAAGGATCTCCTTTGCAGCCTGGAGCAGGTCTTCCACCGGGGCGACATCTCCGTCCATACTATACACCGATTCGATGGCTACAAGAACCGTGGATGTTCCGGAGGAGATAGACGGTAGAGTCCCATGAAAGAGAGTAAGGACCTCACGGAACGACTGTACATCATTATGTCGGAAAGGCCTGCGCGCCATCGCACGACAGGTCCGCATCCCCTCGTGGATGCTGCCGTGCACGAGTTCGTCGAAGACAATGACATCCCCTGGCTGAGGAATAACCGAGAAGATGGCGGTGTTGGCATCAAAACCGCTGTCAAAGAAAAGACTAGTCTTTGCGCCGTGGAACTCTGCGATCTCCTGTTCCAGCTCCTCGACATACGCATGGTTTCCATCCATGAGGCGAGAGCCACTGCTCCCCAGCACAAAGTTGAGTTGCTTCGCCAGCTCGTCCATAAAGGCCATTCGAAGAAGCAAGAAGCCCAGATCTATGTCGAAATTACCAGTGAGTCGCTTTTCCTTCCCATAGTTGGACAAAACAGGTATACGTACTTGGACAGCGACAAAATGTCACAGGAAGAGAAGTCCACCACTGGGCGGGCGGGAAGCAGAGTCAGCATTGTCTGGTCCTTGCGGCGCTTGTCTAGGACTTTCTCCATTTTCTGGTAAAATGCAGGAGCCTCTTTCATCTCGTGTGCCTTGGGCCTTTGAGCCTCCAAGACCTTGGCCATCATGAGAAGAGCTGAGTCGTCCGCCATATCGTCGGTTGCTTTGGTTTGCCTTTCTGAGATGAGATTGGTGATTGTGTGATCATGAGCCACAGTTATTACGCATTTTTATATATTCGTACCTGACTCATCGAGAACCCGGAACGGCAACGGTACAGTCTTAGGGCTAAGACGGACCGACGGGGATGGGGGCGCCGTCAACACGGTCAGACGGGTTCCGCCGCCGCTACAACAACATAGCTATACAGCTCATCTCAAATTTCCAGGGCAAGTAAGCAAAGTACAGGTCATTATGGGTTTCTCTGGAAAGGTTAATATCTTTCTTCCCAATCCGAATTCAACAACTGACAAAGGTAGACTATCTTTATTGGTGGTGGCTCGAAAGGGCTGGGCTACGAGCTCGCTGCACTGCTGATCAACGCACATGCCACACATCTAGTCCTTTTTGCGCGGGATCAGAAACAACTTGATATCGCAAGAATTTCCCTGGAAAAGTTGGCTCAAAAAGACCAGCTGATTCAAACACGATCCGTCGACCTATCGGATCCAGACCAGGTGGGAACCTCTCCTGGACTAAAGAGTCGCAGCACGCTAACATCACTGTTCAGATTGTTAATGCCTTCCATCCCTTTCCCGAGCCTGATTACCTATTCTGTGTTGTAGGCGGCGCGACCGTCGAGTTAGGCTACCTGATCGATAAAGACCCGGAGCATATTCGATCATGCATGAATACCAATTACTTCACTGCCGTTTTCATGGCCCAGGCCATGCTACGAATCTGGGTCAATGCATCGCCGCCTCTCGAAGGACGTTCTGAGGGCAAGCCACGAACCCGACATATAGCATTCACCTGCAGTGTTGCTGCCTTTGTTGGGGTCCCGGGATATATTGCCTATACAAGTATGTCCTTTTCCTTCCTATTAGCCTGTTACAAAATAAAGCTAAACTCAGGTACTCGAAAATAGCCACCAAATGCGCGGTCCGCGGGGTAGCAGACACTCTCCGTCAAGAGGTCCTCCGCTACAATACTCCTGCGGTGAACTACAAAGTCCACTGCGATTTTCCGGCGAACTTCGTGACTCCTTCCTTCATCGAAGGGCAGAAGTACAAGCCCGAGCTTACCAAGCACATAGAAGGTACGGATATACTAAGTCTAAAGCACAGCTTAATTTCCACAAGACAGCTTGCCGCGAACGGCACTATAACCATCTAGTTATTTAAAACCTATATAGAACTAAAGTCTATAGTAACTAGAGAGATTAAGGGTTATATATTTATCAGCAATAATCAGTACTACCTGGGTAGCTTTATGCCTTCTAGAACGCTTACGTTAGCTATCTATAGAGCCTAATAGAGGCTAACTATCTAACAAGATCATCATTCTCTTCATTAACAAAGGGTAAGTTAACGGGATCTACCGAAGACGACAGACTCTATATCTCAGCTATCCGTATCGGAGAACCTACGTCAATTTATATAAACCTAGCCTACCGCCGTGCTTACCATACCAGCGAAGCTAGAGTTCGGAAAACCTAGGACTATATAGATATATTAGAAGTATTTCGTCGATTTTTACTATTTCTGTTGATGCCCACATACATATGTAGTTACACAGCTGTGCAGAGTTGTGGAGACGTTGGTTTCTGCTCGCGCTGAAGACGATATATTCTATGCCAAGCAAGATCTGTGTAATATGCCTTGCATATAAGCCGCATGCTATATGTCCAAATTACTCCTAATAGATACATGCAGGCGGAAGCTGATCTATATCATTTCAAGGTATTCCAAGGACGAGATGAAGCTCGTATTTGCGAGCAATATAGGTCAATCCCTTTCTAAAAGGGCATATATATAAACCCACTTACCCACTTACCTGAGCTCGGTAGATACGTTGTTTTAGTTACATATGTATTCTAGGGCAAATTCGGTGTTACCTGACTTGCATTCGACTCGGTAGTGACGTCAGCTTCGGCATTCGATCTCACGGCAATAGTATATCCAAAATGCAACATTGTACAACCTAGGCTAGGCAAAATGCTCTCTAATGCAGGAGTTGTGACTTAGTAGGTGAAGCTCTATTGGAAACGCTTCGAATCCTCCTTGAACCTGCGAGCTGGGGTCTTCTGATGAAACAGATGATCCAGCGTCTCAGTCGTCATGCCCTTTGTTTCTGGTAGCCTGTAGAACGCCCAGACCAAGAGAAGTACAGTAAAGGCCCCAGCGGGAAATGCTGCTTTTCCCTTCAAATTACCCTCTTTTGGATTCAGCATGTACGGAGCCACCACAGAGTTCACCACTGAGAGAATATAATACGTGCCTCGGCCGAGGGAGATCGTCTTCACGCGCAGATTGCTTGCTCCAACTTCGGCGGCAATCGCGTATGGAATGGGGCCGATGGTCGATCCTAAGGTACATAAGTTGGTTTAAAGTCCATGCTGTGGACGTCAATGGGGCTTACCGTAAAAGAAGAACCAGATCAGCAATAAAGCGCACTGCGTCCATTGGATACCGGAGGATGAGGGTGCCACGCCCAAGAAACCAACAACAAGCATCAGCGGCAGCATTGCCACGAGACCACTGAGGTAAATGGTACGACGTCCATAATGCGTCTGGAGCACCCAAGATAGACAGGTACCCACAAAAGCAAGTCCAAACATGCCTAGGGTTGTTAGTCGATTGGACCTGGCCAACTGGAAAGGACATACCAAGAGAAAGCTTGAACGAGTCACCAGAGGAGATTCCAGCGAGTGTGAAGAAGTAAGTGATATAATTTTGGATTGCCCAACCCGGAAGAAGCTGGCATCCCCAGCTAACCATGGAAATCTCCGAGCGGCGACAGTTCGTCCCCTTGAAACATTCGCGGTATGAGCTTCCAATTTGCATATCCCGCTCTGTCTGGATGGTATGCTGTATCATGGAAATAGTTGCCCCGGTATTGATGACTCCATCTGGTGCTGAAACGGTTCTCTTGAGAGACGCCTCTGCTTCTTCTAGGCGACCCTTACGAACAAGCCACCAGGGTGATTCTGGTGCCAGCCAGGTTACAATAAGCAGAGGAATCGGGAAAGCCCATTGTATTCCGAAGGGGATTCGATAGGACCACTGGGACGGGATTTCCATCGTAGCGGTCAGGATGCCAGTTGCAAGAAGCCTTCCAATGACCCAGCAGAGGTTCACAAATGTTGTGAGGTATCCCCTGAGAGGAAGAGGGCAGATTTCAGCAGCGTATGACGGAGTGGCAGCAGCAAAGAAGCCCCAGGGTAGTGAGCTAGAAAGAGAAAGAAAAGTCAATACTCTAAATATGAAAGGATGGGCAAGGAAGCATACCATAAGAGCTCACCGACAAGAAGCACCTCAATCGAAGGAGCGAAGAACGTGATAGCAACGAAGCCGGTCAATGCAACAAGCGACACCATGATCACTTTCCGGGCTCCAAACCTTTCCGATACGGACCCGTTAATGAAAGTACCAGTCATCAAGCCTAGAAGTGCGATGAGACTCAAGGCTAGCTGCCACTCCGCAGTGATGGTATAGCCACCTTCCTCCAACTGAACGCCGTACTTCTTCTGAAACTGGGGGAATGCGTAGAAAGAGTTGATAATCTGCATGTCGTATGACTCCATGATCGTAGCTATGGAGATAAGGGCAGACCACATCACAGCAGGGCGATAGTAGCGAAAAGCGTCGCGCACAGTGAGATCAGTTTCAGCTCTTCTACCCTCCTCGATATGTTCATGCTCCGCTTTCTCGAGCATCCCGGCTGGTTCGATGGGTGGCTTCTTGAGATCAGCCATGATGAGGTTCAAACAGGAGGCAAAAGGCACTCTTGGGATGATAGATAAAAGTTAGAGGGGAATACAGATACTTCCTCTAACATCCACATCCTGCTCCATGACGCCAGTTATATAGGACAGCCAAGCAAGGAGGATCCCCAGGTTCAGTGCCGTGATCTCCGCATTGCGGGGGATATCCGGAGAAGGACAATATGCTTGGCTGACAGGTGGGGGGGGTGGGCAACATATTGCCGTTCCCTGTTGATGGTGAGCGGTAGTCGGCCGGGAGTCGGAAATGGAGGGTTTTGGCTGGCCATCCTGAATGTCTAGGGGCGAACTTGGGGTACTTAGGGCTAGCCTTTTCCTTGGACCTCCCCTCCCCAATGACCAATCGGTTCATATCACCATAACACGCCCTTTCCCATAGGTGTCTTCCTGTTGCTAGGTTTCTCGAGAGGATGCCATGGCACAGCCCTGGAGGTACTCGCTGTTGAGTCATGTCGAATATTTCGTCCTAATAGTTATACCGATAAAACAACCTACAGGTACCTACAGGTATTCATGCGCCTCCACAGATATATCTTGTCCGTAATTAGCACGGTAATTAATCCCCGTATCCCTACAGATTAAATAGTTATTTGAAAACTCGGCTCTCAGTTCAGTCGTTCGGTACCAACTAAATCGAATAGTCTCCCATCAGCACCAATTACTCCCTGGAACCTTGCAGGAATACTGTAACTTGTCATGGTCAAACCACAGTGTGATACAGCTGGGGCAATAGGGTAGTGGTCTGAGATGGGCTGCTTATCTCCTACATGGTAGATACATAGGTGTGCACAGGCTCATCCCCAATTTCCTGCATCTTATCTTCCAACATCTTCGTCATTTTCTCTACAACCTCGCGGTATTCAGGCTCGTGCCAGCAGTTAAACAGCTCCAGCGGATCCTTCTCACAATCAAAAAGCTCCCATTCCTTTTCCTCCCCTCCAGGCCGCGTCCCTTCAAGCCCAAAGTCCTCGTTATACCAGTAGATCAATTTGTACCGCTGGTCACGCACACCATAATGTGCGTAAGCTTCGTGGATGACATCTCGGTGCATCCAGTAGCGATGGTAGGCGACTTGCTGCCAGTCGGAAGGCGCCCTTTGTCGCAACAGCTCACGGAAGGTGACGCCTTGCATGTAGGTGGGGATACGCAGCTGCGCAAAATCAAGGAAGGTAGGTGCAAAGTCAACGTTGCAGATGATGTCGTCGCAAACGGTTCCAGCGGCAATCTCACGGGGATATCGAATCAGGAACGGCATCTGGAAGCTCTCTTCGTACATGAAGCGCTTGTCAAACCAGCCATGTTCACCGAGGAAGAAGCCTTGGTCAGAAGTGTAAATCACGATCGTATTTTCAGCGAGGCCTTCAGCGTCGAGGAAGTCAAGGGTACGCCCAACATTGTCGTCGATGCTCTGGATCGTACGAAGATACCGTTGCATGTATCGTTGGTATTTGAATTCCGCTAGCTCTTCGGACGTCTTGAAAGTGAATACCGTCCCGTCTTGCTTGTCGATTAGGCGTAACTTTGTCACATCCTCCGGAACAGGGACCTTCCGATCGTGCCACCACCACGCATCGATCATCTTAGGCCCGACCACATCGCTCCCACCGTCTGGCTGAGCCAGTCCCAGATCCATATATGTGAGATCCTCCGCTACACGCATCTTGGCCACCTTCGCCGCTTTGGCTCGGTTCTTGTAGTCGTCCGTGAACGTGTCCGGCAGGTGGACCGGCTCAGTATAGAGATCATGGTGCTTGGGATCGTACTCCCAGCTGCGATGTGGTGCTTTGTGGTGGCACATCAAGAAGAAGGGTCGGTCGATGTCGCGATTTCGGATCCAGTTCAGACTTTTGTCGGTGATGATATCTGTCGCATACCCCGATTCCCTACTTATGCCTTCTGGGCCGATAAACTGAGGATCATGGTATTCACCCTGTCCCGGAACGACACTCCAGTAATCGAATCCGGTCGGTTCGTGATCCTTTCCTTCACCTAGGTGCCATTTTCCCACCATCGCAGTTTGGTAGCCACCTGATCGGAGGTGTTTCGCGACGTTGGGCATGTGTTTATTTATCTTAGAATCGAGCGTCATGACCCCGTTGACGTGGTTGTGTGTCCCTGTTAGGATAGCGGCGCGGGACGGAGTGCAGATGCTGTTGGTGACATAACAATGGTTGAAGCGCATTCCTTCGGTCGCCAGTCTGTCAAGATTGGGGGTGTGATTGATGCCTGCACCGTAGCAGGAAATAGACTTCGACGCATGGTCATCGGCCATGATGAAGATGATGTTTGGGCGGTTTCCGGCAGCCATGTTGCATAAAGAGCAGTGAAAGAAGCGTATCTCAGAGCGCAATGCCTCGCGAAAGAAATATAGAAATATATGTTTCGGTGGTGAATGTCTGAAGGGGTGGGCGGCGGGGCCTGCTGGATTTAACCTTCCTTCTCCCCCATTGCGGTTAATACACAACCGACTGGAGCGGGGGATTATTGATGGATCCCTTCAATCTCCCCGGAGGAAGTCGCTATGAGAAGCTCATTTGATATGCACGGTGTTTGTATGATCTGCACACCCCACCGGGAGTCGGCGGCAGTCGGTAAGGAGCACCTCGTATTGGCGTGGCACAAACATTAGCGAGCATGCGAAGAAAGGAGCTATAAAGGAAAAAAACCCCCAAAAGACTCCGATTGAACAAATAGCGCATATTTTCCATAGATTATGGAAGCTCCGGGGCATCACGATGTTAAGCTAACTTGCATACTAACCGACACCGTTTTACACCGACTGCCGACGATGCCCGCCGTCAAAGTGGATGATAATTACTAGTAGTAGCCTCGATGAGGAATGAAAATTATCTCTCGCTACAGTGTTAACCTAGGTATGTGTATGGTCACACCGTTATTGTAGTACACAAGGCGCGGGTGTCATTTTAATTCTCGTAGTCGTCATCCTCAAACTTCGCTTGACGGACCAAACTGTGCACCGCCAGTTGGCTATGCCGCTGCCGGCCACTATCGGACTGAGCGCTCGATACGTACCCTAGTTCTCTGGCCGTCACAGGCGACATGACCGACGCTTGCACAAGGTGTTCTAAATCGGTAATAATCCTCTCCGCAAAAGGGGTGGACGAGAAGAACGCATGCAGGACGCTCAATGCCAAGTTAGCACTGCGGATGGCGCTTTCTGTAGTGATCTCAGGTCGTGAACAGTGTAAAGATGGCAGAAACAAAATTAGCCGCGCACTTTGGTAGGCACAGACAGCAACATAGTGTGGCAGCACGGGTATATCCGAGAGCGATAACACCCCGGCAAGGATCTCAGTAACCTGCATGACATGTATATGACACATTCGAACCGCATGCTCACAGAAGTTCGCGTCTGTTGTATTCATGATCCTGGATGGAACTGCCTCAGGATATCCGGGCAAGAAGATCCGGTAGAGATCACAATGGACCTGATGCCACGAAAGTGCAGTGAGCAAATAGCGTGCAAACCACTGAGAGTGCTTCATCTCCAGTTGTCGGGCCATGGCTGAAATGGAGAACTGAGACGTCAGTTCCACGTCGTCGTGCAGGCGCCACAGATCATTCTGAATTTCCTGAACGAGGCCAGGAAGTGCCGCCAATGGCTCCTCGGATATTGCAAGCTGTCGGGTTAACCGCATGACATCTCGCTGTATCTTGCTGATCTGGTGACATGCTGACAGCAAGTTGGGGGTCTTGGCTGAGTTGGGTTTTGTCAAGTTTTGGATGGATCCAGTCGATCTCTGGGGGTTTCCATCGGAGAATTCCTCTTCATGGCAAGGCCATCTCTGATAGATAATGGCGTAAGAGATAGTCTCATGCTCCGGAAGACCAACGGAGAAATAACCATCGATGCTCGTCAACGCCCATATCACGCGCCGGCGCGTCTCCTGGGCAACAAAGGTAAGCTCTGGGCGCTCGTAGTTGAGTCGCAGAGCCGTAGCAGCTCGTGCAGCTAGTCCTACTAGCATGTAGGCGCGTGCAAACTCGCCGATGCGGATATAATAATGAACTGTCAGCAGAAGAGTCTGGACCCGACGGATGGATGGCTGGTGCAGATGTTGAATATTTTCTGCCTCGGCTCTGAGCATCCATGATGCGCACTCCTGCAGTAAGCGTTGATCCGTGGAAAGATATGCGTTGGTGACGGCTGCCAGGGACAACGCAAGGCTTTGGTCTAGAATACCGTCCAGGCAGTGCTGTCGAACTGAAGGCTCATGAAGGAATGCAAAGGACGGAATGGGGTACAGATGGCGGAAGAATTGATCAATAGCGCGCAGAAGCTCCTGACGACGGATGGGAAATAGGGTACTGGCTGACTTTAGAAGCTGAGACGAATCGGCTGGTAAATTTGAATCTGTATAACGACACGCGCGTTGGTGGTGGCGACAAGTCTTACAGCTGGGGAGATCGCCTGAGCAGCGCGCCTTCTGGCGACGGCATTCGGAACACGCCCGACTTGCGCGCTGCCGTTCCGGTGGCACGGATTCGTTTTTCTGCTTCTTGGTCTCCTTGCAAGAGACGCTCCGCCGGTATGAGCAGGGAATTCCAATCTCTTGCAGTTACCGCATGTATCTTGTTGGCGATCGCAGCGGACCTAGCCACTCTCAGTCAAAGGACCTTAGGGGATACTACCTCTAAAAGCGCATACCTTGCGATATCGGCATTGGAGGCATGGGGCGGTCTGGGATCGGCCCATGATGATACTGCCTTGAAATAAATGAGAGGAATTATGCGGATGTGGTTCATGCAAGGTAGCCAGACCAACGATATATATTCTGGTCAACCAGTCGTCAGTGCAACCCCGTCGATTATGTTATGGTTATGCTACCATGAATGGTTCATGAAATAACTTTGGAATGTATTTTGTTATGATTCAGAAGTTCACGCTGCTTATGTTGACAAAGAACGTCGCGAGTTTACTGGTGCGAGGGAATACTCAGCACCCCCATCCATCCATGGATGGATCACTGTGGAGAACACCCGATCCATCAAGCACGTGACTATTTACCGCCTTATCTTATCTCCACGGAAGGGGTTTCGGCCGAGATTCATTCCGAAGATGCCATTGGGCGAGATTCTTATCTAATCATTTTCATCACTGGTATGTGATGGATACCTATGATATACTAAACGTTAGGCTTTTCTCGCTAACGACAAAAGACCCCAGTCAATTTTCATTGACACGATATTCCATGTTGACGTTTTAATGTTCTTTAGCCAGTCTTCAGCTGTGTGCTCTGTACGCAGACTGATTGTATACACGCTGTTGTTCCACTGCTCCGCAAATGATAATCAACACAAATCGAAGATCACAATGGATAAATATATTGAACGTTCATCGCCACATAAAAAACATAAAAAAAACGGCTCCCAATAGCTATATACAATATAAGACCTTCTTAAGCAAATGTATCTACTGCAAACCTTCCCCTATTCATCCTTGCCAGCCACTCCTCATACTTGTCCTCGCCCTTGCCCTCCTCACTCTCAGCTGTGGCCATATAGATCCTTCTCACCACCGCAAGAACCGAGTTCCTCAATGCAACTGGTCCACATAGATAGAAACTTGCCCCATTTCTATACAAGTTAACAAGAGTCTCTCGCTCTTCCCACAATTTATCCTGGACATGCTCTCCGCCAGGGAGTCCCGAAAAAAGCATACCGCACAGTCGCAATTCCTGCTTCTTCCCATTGATCGAGTTCACACCCATAAATTCTATCATCTGTACACGACTTACACCCAAAGAAAAGAAAAGCAGGTGCAAGCTTCTGTCCTTGTTTGGCGCGACAGCCTCGTTCCTGGAGAAAAGCACGGAACGGCGCAATTCCGGATCCAACGCAGACCATCACCATTGGCGTTGTTTCTGGGTTATCAGGAAAATCAAAACCGTGGTTGGATGGCCGGATTGAGCAAAGGATTCGTTGGCCCGGTTTCAGGCCGCTGATGTAGTGTGTTGAGACGCCGAGGACTGGCGTTTCCGCTGCTGTTCCTTCGGGATTGTCTACAATGGACACGCTTAGGGAGCATGATCTTGCGCACTTCAATGGAGAGGATGAGATGGAGTACGGCCGGGTTCGAAGAGGCTGCAGCATAGAGATGAAGTCTGCGAAAGATATCGTGGATGAGGCAATGCGCTCCAGAAGGTCTAAGACGCTGATTCTCCTATCCTGAAGTGTGGCCGTTGAGGCGGCCTGGTGGCGTAACCTTTCTCGCTCAGTTAAATCAGGGATCGATAGTGCGATGCACTCCAGGTTCTGTGGTAAGTTAGTATGCATTATAGAGTGTAGTTAAGTTGGAATTCGTACCTTTCGTGTTGCAGGCTGACAGAGTTCAACATATCTGCTTAAAATCTCCTCCACGGATATTTGCGTACCAGTTGGTAATACTGTTGATAGGCCGCCAGTAACTTTCATGTACGTGCCTTCTGCAAGACGAAAATATCTCATCGTCCTCTGCACAGTGACTTCGGGGTTTACTGGGAGAATATGCAGGTAACCACCGACTGTGTATTCAGCATCGGGTGGGAGCGTAAGCTCTAGGTGCCTTTTTGCTTTTACCCCAGGTACTGTCAGCAATTTGCTTTCAAGCACGGACGCTTCAATAAACTCCTGCTCCTTGAATGTTTCTCTCAGATGGTTGGCGAACTCAACTCTTAACTCGTTGGGCAAAGGTTGGTGCTCTGAAATTGTGTATTTGGTCCGTAATGCGGGCCATAGTTGGTTATTGGACCAGTCTTCAAACGTCTCTTGCACAACCATCGAGGACAAATCAACTAGTCCTAACTCAAGCAAGCGGGTGGCCCCTGCCTCACTCAGGAGTCTGTCGATGAGTTTAGGGATGCGGTGGAATGTCGCCGCCCAGTCGCGATTCCCACAACCAAAGACTGCAAACGAGACTCCGGACAAAATGGGCTTCTTGATAGCTTCCAGCCAGAAAATGAACTTCGCCGCGTTGGCTGCTGGTTTTCCCTCATAACTGGCTGTTAGGATAATGACCGGCCGGTCGGTTGGTAGCCTTTCCAATGCTGAGTCCAACGGTAGCGTTGTGGGATGGAACCCATATCGGGGGGGCGTCTCGACTAAACTGACGAGCCAAAGACTCGCATGTGCCAGTATTGGAACCATATAGAACGGTGATAGGCTTTAAGCTATCCCTCACAGCTGGGGCCATTGTTGGTTCTCCGTCAGGCCTCTTTTTGGTCTCCTGATCATTGAACAACCGATTCGCGAGTTGCACAGAGTCGATACCAGGCTTTAGTTTCACGTGGAGAAAGAAGTCCCTTAGCCTGAGAGTCACAATCTGGTCAATATCGAGTTCATATTCGGGATCATCCTGATCCACGTCGAAGTTCTGTGCGAGCAGCGCGGCGATCAAAACCATCTCAGTCATAGCAAATGGTCGGCCGATGCAGCCACGAGCGCCATTTCCGAAGGCCTTAAGGGGTGGTTAGAATCGTTACCTAGCATCTGGGGAAAGTCCACCAAGGAAATGTATATGCGTACCTTCCAGGCATTCTTCGGAAGAGCACTCAGGTTCTCGTCTAGCATTCTCTCTGGCCTGAATTCATCTGCATCTTCCCCCAGACGTCTGGATCCCGGTGAATGGCAGGCAGAATGGCAATGATCGTTTGGTTTGGCATCAAAGCATACTCGCCTTTGCCGATTAGTGTGGGATTTTCTTTATCCTTCGGCTTAAAAGCGATTACAGGAATAGTCGGCCACAACCGGAGCGATTCCCGAACGCATGCCGTTATATAGCGGAATTTTGCCAGGTGTTTTGAAGTAATTCGGCTACTGCCGGTGACAGCACTTACTTCCTCCTGGATCTTCTTCCAGACGCCTGGACATTTGACAAGATGGTAGAGAAGAAATGCAATTCCACCAGACGTTGTTTCATGACCTGTTGTTGTAAGTAAGCTTAGGATTTCACATCGTTGAAGGGGGAATATAAGTAATCTACGACTTGGCATAGCATAAATGTACATACCTGCTATAAGAAATGTGACCATATTGTCAATGAGACTGTCCTCAGACATCTGCCGCCCGGTCTTGGGATCGCAACCCTTGATCATCGCATTCAATATGTCGTGGGTTTCAGTCGGATTATTTCGTCGAGCGTCGATAAGATCCTTTGCAAACTTCCGAACAAAGCCAATGTCACGGTCATATTGCTGCTGGTGCCACCATAGGAGACGAGTGGCAAAAGCTGGTCGCTGGGCCCGGTAGTTAGACTCCCTCATAAACCCGTCCATTGCCTGCGCGAACGGAGGCTTTTCCTCTGAATAGAGGGAATTCAACCGTGCGCCCATGGCACACAAAGTAACAGCATCGAGCGTAAACCGGGTGCAGTCCTCTTGTACATTGATAGGTTTTGACGGACCCTGACGCGCCCATTTTAGGATGAGCTGCGATGCAATATCGTAGATCCCTGTAACCTTCGTCAGCGATACTATCTCAGTTTATAAGAAGACAACTTGCTGCTAGATACCATGGAACATATCCTGGATAGGGACTGGACCGAAAGCAGGTGCAATAATTCGGTGAGCAATTCCCCAATTTTCTTCGTTAGGATGCGCGGTGAACAAGCTGTCATGGGCAAGGTTTCTCATCTGAGATAGTGGACCAGACACCGACTTTACAAAACGGCTCTCGTCGCACAGCTCGTTGAATAACTCGTGTTTGCAGACGACTATTCGGCTGATATTCATAATACGAAGTCGATATATTGGCCCTACGTCAAATAAGCTTCTGAATCGACCAGTCTTATAGAGATGCTTACCATGGATATCTCCCAGTCGCCGAAGGCTTTTGACAGTGTGCGTGGGGTCGATTTCGAATAGACTCCCAAGATAGGGGAGCCCTGGTGGCTCTGGAATTTTCGACATTGCAAGTTGTCCTCATCGAAGACCTTTTTTTCTTTTTTTTTTTTCGCTTGGATTACTCGCTCTATACGTTGGATATTTGCGGTGCGAAGGTGTATCCCGGCCAGGGGTCGAAAACTAATATTAGTAATATTCATGCCTTGATCTGCCTGAATATTTTGCCGACAGAAAAAATATGAATACCTGAATTACCATAACAGAGCGCTTAAGTAAGTAAAAAGGTTGAAATCCAACATGGGGATGGATGGCGATTTGTACGGGTCGTGTTTGTACGGTCGGGGTCGATGAGGATAGATGGCGATGAGGATAGATAGTACAGTGGAATCGATGAGATTGGCGATGTGGGATGGTCGGGAGAATATGGTATGAGGAGGCTTCAACGCCTAGAAACGGAAGATTTCAAAGATTTGTGTAGTGGGAATAGCTTCAATATTAATTACCCGGGACCTTCATTTACAATACGCCGTAAGAGCGGTGCAGTATATAATCAGGCATATACAGGCATCTTCAGGCAGCATTATTAGTAATAATTAGTTTCATGTCAGCACGGAATAACCTTGGAAGCCAAGTACTCCTAAGATGAGGGATCGCAAGCGAACGGGACATGACAAAAGGAAGAAAAACTAGGTAGTATCTATCACTGCTAGCGCGAGGAGCTGGCGGCCGAGGAGAAACGAAGCATAAATGATAGTGGGAATTATTTGCTGTAGATGATTGCCAGACAAGTAGGTAAGAAGGTTGGTATGGCGGAAAATAGCTCTAGATTAGGTCTGCCCACCAGGCTGGAGTCTCATCGCCTACTGAGCCGACCTTAAGAAAGTCCATAGCGAACCCTAGTAGTAGCTGACATACGTGTATAGGGTTAGGACCGTCTTGATGATATGAGCCTTTGAGGGAATGTTGCGGCGGCGTTCTTCTTCCGTTGGTTGTAGGCGATACTCGGGGAAAAGAGTGTTACAGAAAGCCAGTAGCTGGCCTATTCCTACTATTAACAGGGACCTTTATAATGTACGGAGAGATAACAGACCACCTTAGATATTAGTCCAATCCATCCATCCCAGGATCCAGTGAGGTAAATTTTGTTCAGTCTATCTATTAAAAAATGCTAATTGTGTTGCTCCTGGAGCCTGGTATCGGCAAAACCTTGCCTTCCTATCTCATCCTTGTTCAATGGTTTACACTTGATGAAAAGACTGGTCAACAGCCCAACAGGTGCAATGACCACCAGTGCTATCCAGACATAATGTAAGCTGATTGCATAGGTTGCAAGTGTCTCTCTTTTGACTAATGGGTACCCGTCAAGAGACGACAAATTTTCGATGGCGTAGACTGCCGTACTTCCGTCTTTAAACTGCTCCGCTACCACCGGAAGGTTCCCCCAACGCGACGCACGAGTAGTGTAGGTATTAGAAAAGATGGCGGCACTGACCGCCAGACCAATAATCTGACCAGTTGAGCCTAAAGAAATCTAGAGTACCCACTGCAAGACCAACATCATCAACGTGCATATTCGCCTGCAAGGGGATGGCGATTATGGTGTATAAGATGCCCACGCCTATACCCCCCCGGGACCTGGAGGCCCAATTGGAGGCTTCGGGAGGATGGCAGGTCCAACAGTGACATAATTCCAACCTCCCAAGCTGATGGTAGCCCACCCTGTCCACATGATCCAGTTGTACTGGGAACAGGAAGTAACCAGGAACGCCGCTATTGAGCCCGAGGGAACGGCCAGAAAGCTGAATAGAAAGGCACTAATTGCGGATTTTAGGATTTTATCGGCGATTGCTGTTGCACTCCCTGGAAATAAAGAGGGAGAATATAGATAACGGCGGCTGTTATCAACCCATGAATTAAAGACCCCATCATGCAGCACATGGAAGTTGTGCCTGCAAGAATCCGATGAGGAAACATGGGGTCTTCGGTGCGGTATCCATGGAATGCAAGGACACATAGTATCAACGGACCGATTGTTAATGGCACATACGTCTGCCACGCTCTCTATGGGAAAAGCACGCCTCCCCAGCTAAGGGGTGCGACTGTGGCGGTAGACCCAACGAGGAAAAGCAGCATTCCAACCCAGTCAATGCGTTCCCATTTCATTTGCGACGACGTCTCAACAGGTTTCAAGCGAAGAAAAAAATATACTGAGTGCTGCGCCCACGCCTAGAAGCGGCTTCGACTTATTAGCGCCTTGCAATTAATCCTTCACGGGGAAGAGCATACCAGATCAATCCACGCAACCCATCTCCAACTGACATATGTCGAGAAGGCTCCCCCCCCACTACTGGTCCCAAAACAGAGCCCAGAGCGGTGGGAATATCTAACAGCCCCACGTAAAACGCTCTTTCCTTGAGGTTAGTTATATCGGTGACGATAATCTCCGTCAGTACATACACCCCTCCACCGCCAATCCCCTGGACCACCCGACCAACAATGAGCACATAGATGCTCGGTGATGCACCGACTATAGCCGCGCCAGCGGCGAGCAGCAAAAGTCAACTGTAGAGTATATGCGGCCGAAGATGTTGGAGAGGCTGGTGACGAGAGGCTGGGTCAGCACTGTTAACAGCAGGAAAGTCGAGTTAGCCCAGAAGTATTGCACAGTGGAGGCTGAAAAGTCCTTTTGAATACTCTGCGGCAAATTAGACCCATCGTGAAGTTTCTCAGGGGTTTTCGATTCGGGCGTGGGGGGGCTCGCCGCTCTACTCAACCCTCTTAAGGGCAATCCTGGCGGATATTCACCCACTTGAATATTCCGTTCGTGTATAGAAAAGTACATTCTCACAATTTTGAGGTGTCAAACCTCATCTAACGATGGCAGTAGGTACGGAATCAGAGTAAAAGGCATAAACAGCGATTCCGATCGTAAGAGGGTCTCTTGATCGAGACGCTCTTTCCCTGTCAACCGCAATTGACCCGGAAGGCTTTCTCCCTTGGCTCTTTCCTAGAATTGCCATGAGGAGATATAAGACCAGATCCTAGATGCGCAGAATAGTAGACTATGTAAACAACCAATCTTCTTCAAAATGTCACCACCAAAGTCTGTCGTGGAGTTCTTACATGAAATTCTTTTTGGCGCCAAGTTGGAAAGCCAGGATATTGCAAGCAGCCTTTTGTTTGTCCTTCTTCTTCTGTTGGACTATGACTGCCACTATTGCAGCAATCGCCCGGGCGTGGGCTTTAAGGTAAAGTACACGGAAAGCCTATGTGTCCTGTCACGCTGGACATGGCTGTTTCAAACCTTCATGTGCATAATTACTGATTGATTGCCCATAGGTGGCTTGGCCCGCGAACCCCTCCAAGCCCTCCAAGCCCTCCAAGCCCAGCACCAGAGTGTTCCGGCATCGTTGTCGTGGCTGATATACCGCCAGTACCACCCATCCGCATACCCCCAGAACCATCCTTCTACCCTCCGGATGCCTTCCCAGTGCCAATCGTCCGCTCTCGTGGCTCCTTGGACGTGCTTGAGTCCATCTCTGATTCCACCTCCAGCAGCCTCCGCCATCGCCTCCAGCGCAGTGATCCGCTGCGGGCCATAACTATTGGCCACTCTGCAGACTGCGGCTGCCAAGTTTGCGCCAATCGCCGGTATAACCTAATGAATCCGATGGAGCGAGGCGAAGTCTGAATTGTAAGTAAGGAGTACACTGAAGCATTAACACGAAGCAGATATAAAAGCCATTTATTTGCATTTTAAAGTATACATACCAAGGTCTGAACAGGGCGAATTTCTCTATCTATAATTGCCTGGCAATGGAAAAGGCTCACATTGTATCTAGATCTCGACGAGCCGTCAGCGCCGAACCCCAACTCTTTTTTTCAGTACTTCTTTACTTTTTCTTTACTTTTTTTTAAAACTTCTACAGTCTTTCTTTTCACTCTTATCTTTACTTAAATATATATAGCGGGAAGTCCACTAGTCCAGGTTACCTTTGTACCATAGTGAAACCGACTGTGATGTGGGGCGTAGGAGTCACCCTATATATGCAACCTTTCAATTTCAACGGATAAACCACTGTCAACCGTGATGGGACCTCAGTTCATATTATAGAGTAATATATCTGGTCTAGTAAAGTATACAACTGTCGAGGAAATAAAACCGTGGTGTAGCCGTAGTCCGGACTAGGGGTTGTCCTGCTATGTAGGTAACTCACTACCTAGATGGATTCGTCTTTGACGATGTTGGATAATATCACATTCTGCTTAGTTCCCGTAGTATGGTTATGGTAGTGCCCTCCATCTTTTTATGAAGGAGAAAGAAAAGACATCAGTATTGCCATCACGCTTCCGGTAGGTTCAGCAGAAGCCTATGTCGTCACTGGCCTCGATTTAATATACCGGTCATTCTGACGATTGCTCTGATGATAATAGCTAGCCGACTTCCCTAGAGATGTCTCTACTACAATTAGGACTCTACGGGTAGTTCTTTCGATTCTATATCAACCTACCATCCCAATATTCTTGAGTAAAAGACATCTGAAGATGAGCTACTACGTGTGGGGTGACGAATCCGATGAAGAGCTAGAGCTAGAAAGCTCTGGAGATATCTGTCTTCTTCAAAGATACCGATACTCTACATTCGCCAATAGAGACACTCTACCCTCTTACCCTACCGACCTAAAGGGGCTATTGCAGACAGAAGTTGCACTTCGAGAGAATACTCAACGCGAGATAGCCTTAAAGGAGAAAATAGAGGAACTCGCTAAGGAAGACACCTACGCGACTGTCGTTCAAGACTTACAGGGGGAACTGTCGACACTATCGAAGGAATATTGGACCTTAGAACGACGTTGGTGGGAGATTAGGTCTTCGTATTGCGACGGTCCGCTGGCTAGAGGTATCGATTTCTGGCGTTCACAGCCAAAATGGTATATGCATCGAGTACTTGTGGAAGATTGCGTTGGGAGAGGAGGCTGTTGTGGTAGAGACTGTGGATGCTGTTCTCATCGCCAGTCAGAACGGAAATTTGCAGTTGGTCATTGCACCGTGGAGTGTTCTTGTTGCGAGAGAGCCCGGGGGTTTGCACTCGACCCTGAGCAGAAATCCCAACTCCGCGAGACCTTCAAACTTGATTGCAACCGTCCACGTGCGTGGTATTACGATCGAATGAAGACCGCTTCTCTGCTGGGGTTAATGGCCGGTAATTATGAAAACCCTTTGAATCTCATCGTTGACGTGCCGCCAAGATATACAGCTCCCTCTGAGGAATCGCAAGGGAGCAAGTGGAAAAGCTATTTGCGGGGATCTTCACGCTAACGTTTCCAAGAGTAAGGGAGCATCATTATGGGGAATTAATATGGGACAGATCATGGAAGTACTATGTGGCTGGGGTGATCTAGGGGCTGTGTTTTTTACTATGGCGATACCATAATAAATAACACTTAGACTGAAAATGACCGCCAAGGTAGTCCATACCTAATTGGGTTAGACTCCTGTGCCAACAGTGATTTTTGCTGTGCCAACAGTGTTTACCTTTCCTACAGGAAGGGATATAGGGAAAATCGTAGTCTCCAGAGCATGTGTGAAGGCGTATAATGAGAGGGATAGAAAGGCGAGGTAGAATCCCACGCTTTTGCTGGGCTGGGACACGACCATATCCCGCTGATTTCAATATGAAGGAGTTTGGATTCCATTGGCAATGGTGGTTGTACTTCGTACTAGTACTTGCATGGGTCGGGTTGAGTTGGCTGCAGTCCGACTTTCTTGTAGTCGGGCCGAAGACATCGGGGACGGAAGCCGCATTTGATACGGATGTGTGTACTAGTCGCCAGCTAACCGACCATATTAGCAGGGGTTAGTCGCCCGTACAGGGGGGTTTAGTAACCAGCGCCCTTTGTTCTAATTTCCTTCGAAAAGTAAGCCTACTTGACCGCCCTGTGCATTGCCGGGTTTTATCTTTCCACCCGCCCACACCATAGCCAGACCACAAGTCACCACACAACATACGCATGTACAGAATGAGCGCCATCAACTCTACAGTATCTTTCTGGGGTGCTACAACTTCGAAGGCCAAGTCAGCATCCCATTTTATCTCTACATTCCATTTGCTGACCTCGACGAAGCTTCTGCGAAACGGACTACGCCGTCAGCAGATACATCGCCGAGTTTGTGAATAGCTTGACAAATGTTGTCTATAGTAAGAATTTCGAACTGGAGGAAATGTGAAATTCTATGGTTATATAACCTAACCATGGAATTTTATCTTTTATAGTAATCTACGGAGTCTACGGGTTGCGCCAACTGCGGAAATACGAACATGGCGACTTTTTACGTGCCCTTCCCTACTGGGGCTTAATAGCAGTCGGTTTGTGCTCATTCGCATTCCATCTCAGCCTCAAATATCACACCCAAATGAGTATGTGCCGCGTCTTTACCTTTCCTATTTTACCTACTAAGGTTATCCGGCTCATTATTCCTTCTATTAGTGGACGATCTCTCGATGCATTTTGCTACAACCCCCGTCCTATATCGTGTCTTGACTGCGAATTCTAATCGCCGAGACTCTGCCGTTATGGGTATGGTACTAGGTGCTGTATTAGTATTTCTTGTAACATTCCATGTGATGACCGATGAGCTGCTCGTCCACTCGGTCTCATTTGTAGGTGCGGTGACCGTTATTGGGATCTACACTATACGACTCGTGAATAGCCGGACGCTGCCGGGCTCAGCTACCCGACGACAGATCTGGGGAATAGTTAGGTTTGGGGCAGGTCGGTAAATCAATCCTACGATATCTAAACCACTAACTTATCCCAATAGCGATTTTCAACCTTGGGTATTGGCTTTGGATAGTTGACCAGTGGGCGTGTGGGTTCTTGACAAAGGCGCGAGAAGCAATAGGTCTTCCCTATGCTTTTATACTAGAGCTTCACGGGTGGTGCGTTTCAGAATCATTACCCCATGATACTTACGCTAAATTCATTGAAATAGGTGGCATATCTGTACTGGAATTGGGGCCTACACCTTTGTCGCTGTTGTAGACCATCTGGTCTCCGGTGAGAACCTAAGCCAGCAGTCGTTCGCCTGGCCTGCTTCCTGGGCATCGACGTCAATTTTCGCCGGACGAGAACCTGTGGACAAGGTTAACGAGAAACAAAAGTGAAATCTCCACCATGTTGTTGTTTTAGGAGGGATGACGTCGGAAGCTCTCAGATGGTCTATTGTTTATCTAGAATCTACATCTATTTAGATTCAGTCTAGTTTGCTGTCTAACGTGCTCTAGCTGCTTATGTCTAGACCCCGTAGCCAGTGGGGTTGGAGACTATAGGAAGACGCAGTGAGCGAAAGGAACTATCATACGAAATTCAAACATATGTTGTAAAAGGATTTATTGAGAGGGAGACCAAGTTGTGGGAGGTCAGAGGCCTATAATATATACAAATAAACTGGCACGAGTGTCTAGCCATCCATTTCGTGAGAGCAACAATAACCAGTCAAAGCAGCCGGTCTATATCTGTTGGGTGCAGACGCATAACTAGCGTGTCTTACACCCCTCCAATTAATTTCAAGAGCTACTCCTCAATGGCTAGGGTTAGGTGGCCTTTTCCAATGTAAGCGACTCACACAATTGCGCTGGGTAACCAGGCTTATTTCTAGGCTCTTGGCCCCTCCGATCCCAGTCGAACCTGTCCCGGCCCCCAATATCAAATCTGCGTATAGCAAACCAACAATCTTACTGGGTAGCGCAGGATGGTCAAAATGTCTATTATTCCCACCTGCAAGTCAGCTAAATTATGTTTAGAGGAATAAATATAGGTCCTTCGCAATTGGAAAGGACGAACAGCTGTCACGTCATAGTGCCCCAGGTGTAAATCATTGCTACAATTGAGCAATATTTAGATGGTTTAGCAGGGTATATACCCCCCCTGCATTTCTAGTTGAGTAACCTAATAGGCAGATTCATTGTCGTCCTCTTGCGGGATACCTTGTAACCGAGAAAACAGCTCTAGTTCCATGCGCTGAGCGGGATCTGGGCCTTGGAGGATATCTTTCACCATATCAGTACCGGGCGGAAAATCGTGCTCGAAGATAGGCTCGCCAGCCCCTTTCATATTGGCAAGCACAGACTGGCGGAAATGCCAACGAAGCAAGTCATCTGCGACACGGTCCGGGTTGTTCGGATTTCGGCACACGATATCGAGTACTCGACCATCAGCCTGCAAGTTATTGCCAGCAAAATCTGTGATTTTGTAACCATCCTAAACATATAGAGATTAGCAAATGATTCATCGCTTACCTTAAAGGTATAGTAACTTCCCAAGGTTACTTACGTCCGGATTAACGGAAATGAGAAAGCTATCAAATAGCCTGTGTACCGATGACGAGACTAACATGCCATTTTGCACTGAGTTGATCGTAATAAGACGGTCGAAGTTACATTGGCGCCAGAGTTCCCGGCGCTCCAATGGGAAAATATGTGCGGCCTCGAACTCGGTCCACATACCCTCACTTGCGAGATTGTTCACCAGTCCAGTCAAAACGCATTTTCCGTCTCGCGCGCGTACAGAATCTCGAAAGGAGTTCTCTCGGCTACTTCGGCTACGTGAGTGGACTCGTCGCACGAAATACTCTTCGGTCAGTCTGAAACCACCTAATAATGTTAGCCTAGTTCCTCATTGTTTCATTAGACTCACCTCGAGGGCAAAAGATGTCATAATCCCCTTCGGATAAGCGATCAGTGTTCATCGGCATTCGTTGTCCGGTCTCTCTGTGGTGGATTGAAATTATTCCATTGGCTTCGAGTAAGACATCCATCAGCATGTGGAAAAAATTAGCGTTGGTGATAGATCCATTTTGTCGAACACCGCCGAGATGAGCACCCGTTAAACCGTCGTAAAAGTTCACATTTCGCGGAGGGCGAGACATCTTGGCAGTGAGGAGTAGTTGGGGTAAAAGCGTGGAAGAGATGTCCACGCCGACTCCACGGGTGAAATAATAGCCAATCGGCTGCGTTCCATCATGTGGGGATCTGCAACGTCCACGAGGTTATCTCAGGGCTCCAGCTGAGAAGTACCTAGGTACCTACAACATAGGTGTGGCCATGTGCTATCTTGACATTTGTGAATGTTACTCTTGTTACGAGGAATGTATATATCACGATTTAATAACTGAGCATTTTCTCATTGCCACTGTTCACCAAAGCATTAACATGTGTTTAGTCATATATCATATTCAACTATAATATACACTGACTGTGACTGACAAAAGACATCCTTTACGAAGGAGGAACAAGTTGCTTCTCCTCTGGCCAAGTAACAATAGTGGTCGCATCACCAGTTAAAGTAAATGAAAGCACGGCCGAACGTTCATTGTTCAGCGCAAGTTCATACTTGCCGGGATACACAATGCGGTCACCATTCTCATCGGTGCGAGCCACATTGTCCAGTGAGATGGGAATTTTCATCGTCTGAGTGGCTTGGGGCTCAATTCCACCAAGGCGATCAAAGCCAACCAGCCACTTGATGGGATGCGGGCTCGGTCCGGCCTTTGTGTTGACAAAGGCAATAGCGGTATAGTCAGACGTGACATCACCAGTGTTCTTCACTTCGACGGTGTAATTCATAAACGGAACTTGTTCGACCACGTTGTATGTGGCGTTTGAGCGTGAGAGAAGCTTCTCAATGTCGAAAGAAGCCCCGTTGTCGGTTCCGTGGGATTCGGGAAGTGAGGCCTTGAATGTTGTGTAGAACAGCCCATGGCCAAATTCGTAAACTGGCTTGCCTGTATACCACATATAGGTTTGACCGGGGTTGTTGCCCTTGGGGCGCAAGCTCATGTCCGTGGCAGGGAATTGAAGAGCATACTCAGCAGGGTATTGAGTAACCGTCAGACGACCAGCCGGTGCACGCTTTCCAGTGAGAATGTCCAGAATGGCAGGACCCCCGGATTGTCCCGGGTAGCCACCCCAAACCAGAGAGTTGACGTTCTTGTTGGCCTTGAGCGATGAAGAGTCCACTTGGCCACCGCCCATCTGTAGAACAACTAACGGCTTGCCCAGCTCACTCAACTGCTCGATCAGCTGAAGCTGGTTACCAGGCCAGGTGATGTTTGCACGATCCACACCCTCTGCTTCGATCGTGTTGTCAATTCCACCGGCGAAGATGATCACATCGGACTTCCTCGCAGCCGAAAGAGCAGCCTCAAACCCAGAAGTGGTCTTGGAGGAGATATTGGTGCCAAAAGCGTAGTTGACTTCAAAGTCGGAAGCCTCCAGGGCAGCGAGTGGACCGGTAAGATAGGGGGCTGGGCCATAGTAATTTCCCTGTAATGTAGTTGTCACATTTGCCCATGGTCCAATCAATGCAACACTGCGGGTGTCCTTAGACAGGGGTAGAGTATCATCATTCTTGAGAAGGACAATTCCTTCTACGGCAGCCTCGTATGAAATGTTCCATGCATCGGTGGCTACAACGTCAGACCAATCAAGATCTCGGTATTTGCCCTCGTTGCCATCAAAGTAGCCCAAATTGACGAGGGTTGAATAGAAACGAGTGACAGCACGTTCGATTTCACTGCGGGAGATCTCGCCCTGGGAGACCGACTCATTCAGATAGAGTTGGTACGTCGCCCCACAGTCAATATCTGTCCCTGCCTGGATACTTTTTGCCGCCGCGAGCGAGGCACTGGAGGCATATCCGTGGGGGTTGAAGACATTGTAGACACTGTCGCAGTCAGAAGAAACATAGCCATCCTCGACAAAGTTCCATGTGTCGCGAAGCAGAGTTTGGAGCAAGAAAGAATTGGCCGATGCGGGAACGCCATTGACTGCGTTATACGCTGACATCACGCTGTGAACTCTTGCATCCCTCACTGCCGTGACAAACTGAGGGGTGTAGTAGCTAGCCATGTCGTACGAGCTGATGCTCATATCATTTCCTAGTCTTGACTGGTTGTCCCAATTCTCGAGGTCATAGCCAGCGAAATGCTTCGCTGTCGCAGCTAGTTTCAGATCCTTGGGGTCCAGGCCACCCTGAACGCCAATTATGTACTCAAGTCCGTAAATCGAGCAGAGTTGGACATCCTCGCCTGGAGTTTCCTGCCCACGGCCCCACACTGGGTGGCGGAAGGAATTGATGTTGGGCGAATACACGTCGAGTCCATATCGACCCCCGTTGTTGAATGCTCTTCCTTGGGTTGCTATAATTTGACCGATTTGGTTGACCAAGGTGCGGTTCAGGGCAGCCATGGTGAGGATGGGGGATGGGAACGAGGTAGCCCAGCTGTAGTCCCCGGATTCGGTGACATTTCCTCGATCCAAACCATGTAGAGCTTCACTCCAAACCTGATAAGGTGGGAGGCCCAACCGAGAAATTTCGGGAATAAAGTTTCCAGTACTATTGACGAGTTCTTCAAAGGTGAACATGGAAACGAGGGCAGCCGCTCTGTCGTGTGACTTTGCGGAGGTGTCACAGACAATTGTCTTGCTGAGTGGGCCATTTAAGCAGTCTGGGAAAGAGAAATCGGCTTTTTCCGTCGTTTCGGGGTAAAGATTCGGTTGTGGCTCGGTGTTGTAGTCCACATAACTGGAGTTGTCCTGGGACAACACAGTTGGCGCAAAGGCCGCCAGCAAGGCGAGTAGTGAAGTGACAGGCATTGTAAAAAGCTGCCTTTGTAAACTAATACTCCAACATTTTTGCCCATGACGGGGTGGGTAACAACTTATAGTCTGGGGTAAGAGATTCCCTAGACCAAGTTTGGAAACTTCATGGCCGATCTCAGGGGACCCCACGCGGGGTTTTTCGGGAGTTCCTGGCACTTGAAGTGAACAATTTAGCCTGAGATTCTTTCCATTAACCGATGCCTTGTCGATCAAGTCAACTGTTGGCTGTTTAGGGGAGGGGGGGTTAGGGGGTCAAGGTTGCATGGGTAAGTAACTAATTCTATACCAAGATCAACATCAGCCGGCTTTATTTTTTCCTGAACTTCATTTTAGCCTTATAATAATAACTTAATAACTTCAAGAACCACTTGAGTATTTGAATTAATGCTCTCTTTTATAGAAACCGGTGCTACCTAAAAAGACCTGATAGTCATATTAACCTCTAGAACAAGCTATTCAAGCCATAAGCCATCCGCTGAAGAAATAATGGGATTCAGCCAGTTTAGCCTGAAATGACTCCCTCATGTTAATTTATGGATATATCTCCAACATACGACATTTCTCATCATAAGCCCAACCCCCGCAGGGCCGGCTAATAGACAATATAGTAAGTATATCCGAGGTTTCGCCGTTTTGGCGCCAAGAGCCTCTGAGGGGAATGAACTGCCTCGTATGTTGTAGTTAACTAGTTAATTAGTTAACTAACTAGAAACATACAAGTGCACAATGTCCTTCTCGCCCTTTTTTTCGAGGATAAAAACTAGTAGACCCCGGTTGAATTAAAAAAAAAAAAAAAAAATACCCAGAGTTTCGTATTTTCAATAAGGTACGGAATGTCGACTAGGCTCATAACATCCTTGTCATAGCCTAAAAGGGTGATGGCACATCCTACATGTAATACAAGGACGGTAGTACATAAATCATGAGACTGCAAGACTTGTGAACAGATTATGATACAAGAACACGCTATGAATGCAGACCAACACGTAACCACTCATAAAATACAATGAATCGCAAACACATATCAGGCCAAACTAGCCACGCTTGACCTCTTGCTCAAGCTTGTCCAGAGCCTTGGCGTATTTGGGCTTGAGTGAGTCTAATGCGTCCGTCTTGATCTGGACACGCTCGATGTTCGAGGTACGCGTGATCCGGCCGTCCACACTGGCTGCGATCTCGTTGGCAAACCACCGACCCTCGCGGTGAGCGACGAGGGACCACGCAGAGCCGGCGCGGCCAGCGCGGGCGGTACGTCCAACTCGGTGGACGTAGGTGGTGATGCTAGTCGGGATATCGTAGTTGATGACATGAGTCAAAGATTCCAGGTCAAGTCCACGGGAGGCACGATCAGTAGCCACAATCACTGAGATGCGGCCTTGTCGGTAGGCCGTCAATGTCTTGCGAGAGGCAGAGGATTTGTTGGATTTAATGATAGTTCCCACGCGTTTAGCCAATGCGGGATGCAGAAGCGAAATAAGACGTGCAAGTCGGGATGCAGACTCGGATGATTTGGTGAAAATCAGAACAGTTTTCCGCGAGGGCGAGGGAACGAGTTCCTTAGCATCGGATTCCGAGTCAGATGAGTCAGATGAGTCCGAAGAATCAGAATCAGAATCAGAATCCGAGTCTGAGTCTGACTCCGACTCCGAATCTGACCCAGAAGATGAAGTGTCGTCATCAGATGATTCGTCAGAGCTAGTATCATCATCGGAGCTGGTATCGTCGTCGCTGCTAGTGTCATCATCTGAACTAGAGCTGTCAGAGTCGGATGAATCAGACACGCTTGGCGCTCGGTCCCCACTAATCTCAATGTGAGAAAGAAGAAGACGTAGCAGATAAAGCGGCTTGAGAGATCCGTCGCCAACTTGAACAATGTGCTCAGACAGAGTTGGTGGTAGGGCAAAGTGAGCATCTGGATGAATAGCAGAGGGGTCTTCTTCATCGGCAGCATCCTCAGACCCGATGATAACCATCTTGGGGTTAGCGAGGCGTAGGGAATTGAGTTTAGAGATGTCGCGGGTCATAGTTGCACTTAGAACGACCTTCCGAGGAGGCTTAGCATCAATCGAAAGTCCCAGTTCAGACAAAAGCTTTCCACCAGGCCCAAAGGTCTCGGGGGCTTCTCGACTGTTCAGCGAGTTCATGACGACATCAACCCATTCTTGGAAGCTTTCGTTCAAGAGACGATCTGCTTCATCGATCACAAGCCATTCAAGGTGCTTGAGAGTAAATCCCTTCGTGTAGCGAATATGGTCAACCAGACGGC